TTTGAGACCCTTTCTGTCTTAATGATGGAGCGAAAAGTTGGGAGATACAGCATTACCACCTAAATTTGCCCAAGCAATACGATGAAGTTTCAACCTCTGGGCTATACATAAATACATTTGACGACTTTTCTTACCTTTTCCGTCCTCTCTCGCATTCTCCCCCTTCCCCCTCCCTGTGCGCTGGTGTGGGATAAATTGCTTCCACGAGTGGAGACGAATGGATGCACAATTTATTCCGACAGGATGATATTCAATCCCAGAAATATTCATTAAATTTTCCCAAGGAAGAGGTGGCAAAGTGTAAGACAATTGTGTTGAATTTCACCTTGCACGTGCACTAGCCAAAACCACCTCAATTCATCATGAGCGGCGCCGAGGAATCAAAGGTGAGGAAATCAAGCAAGGTTTTCCATTTAATTTGTTAAGTGATTTTTCCCTTCAATTGTACTTCGCGCAGATGGAGGTCACTGGGTGGCGATGAAAATCAATTTCCTCACCCGCAGGTGAACAATTGGGTGCTATGTGTGGCATAGGTTTTGCAGAGTCATAGAGACAAAGGTCCAGAGAAGTATTTCGGTGGAAGAAAGGCCATAATTGCCCAGGAGTTTTGAAGATACCTATGGCGAGGAGAAGCTAAGGCGACGACACCCGTACAAAAGGCGACGAGATGCTGTGGAGAATTGTGAGAATTTCCCAAGTTAGTATTTCATTCAGTCGACTCTCGTATATTTCATCTCACTTTCCCACACCTTCGTCACCTCCACTCCCCTGCACTCCAATTTTCCTGCTGCTCTCCCACTCGCCAGAGATGTCTCGTTCCTCTTCCTCATGCCATGTATTGTTGGCGGGGCCGCGCAAGAAGGGAAAATATAGCGCCTTCGGAAGATGATGGTTTAAATTGTAAAATAAGCCACATTTCTCCACCTATCAAATGCACTTTGTGGGGTTGAATTTTCTCGCCGCGAGCGTGTGTGGGAAAAATGTGCAAATCGCCCGAAAAATGCAGATAAGACAAGAAAATCTCTCCCAAGGGGTGAATTGCACACAACTCACCTGCCAACCATTGCCAGAGAATGTATGCGGAAGAGCGAATTCAAGTGCATATCGAATGTTGGCTGCATAAATTTGCTCAGACTCTCTTTTTTGCTCACATTGAAGGGAAAATTTGTTGCCAATATATTGCGTTTTTCAAGTGCAGCTGTGGAGAGAACTCGAAAATTGGGCAGTGAAGTAATTGCGATGATAGAAAAAGCGCTAGTTGGAAAATCAATCGCGCGGAGTTGACGAGATGTTTCGGTGAAAAATTGAAGCCTAAGGCATTTCAGCCTCTTCAAAATCACTCCGCCTTTCTGGCTTTGCCGTCCAATTCGTCCAAGAGCGATGATGGCCTCGGCGAGATGAAAAAATAGACGGTGTGAGAGAGGAAAATCTTTGTTACTATTTTAAGTAAATAAGAGGCGAGGCTGTTTCTGACACATTTCACCATCGGGTATATATATTTGAGGCGCACATTCATTCCTTCACGTTCAATCAACACCAATTTTGTCCATATGTCTGTCTCCCGTTGGGCTCACCGGCGCCCATCTCCTCACGTGATTGGAGCAAATCCCTTAAGTGGATATAAAGTTCTGATCAATTTCCATCAACTATGATATGCGAGCATCACCATGGCACTAAGACCAACTTTCCCATGGAAATCCTGGACGCCCACACGAGCTCGTGAGGGTGGCAGTGGAAACGGAGAAATTTAATGGGGATTCTATCGAATTTGCCAATTCGCCGAGCACTGTTTCAACTGTCCAATTATTTCGATATAATTTGAAGGAGAGAGCACTCTCCTATCTATATATCCTGGGCATGCAAAACCCACATCTGTGCGGCTCCTCGCGTGAGTCTCACCCATTATCACAGTCCTCATTCGTGGCCCTGCGGTGAGAATGAGTGATTGAGAAATTTTATACTTTTCCAATTGGAAAATTGTTTCTTTCACCATTCATCAAACAGTCTCACCCACTTTTCCTCTTGCTCGATAAAAGCTCCTTTTGACTTCTTTCTCTCTCCTGATAAATGACCTTTCCACGAGATTATTATGTTGGCTTTTGTTTGTCGTTCATGCACGAAATTAAGTGGAACGGGAGACACTCTTGTCCCATTTTTTCTTCGCTGCTCCGCGAGGGGCGGCGAAAGTTTAAAGTTTTAAATTCTCCTCGCACTGCGCTCTCTAAATCACCATCCTTGGCGAGTGGCACTGCGGAGGAAGAAAAAAAAACTGAACCAAGGGTCGGGACTTTGCGAAAAGTTCGATCAAACAATCAAACAATCAATGGGTTGTCTCTCTTAATAATTAAAATGGGTTCGTGTCCTTTCGCGCAAGATGCCAGACCACAGCTAATATTAGTTGTTCGGTGTGCAAACTCTGATTGTGCACTCGCCGCACGAGAAATTGCGCAAAGATTGTACGAGAAAAGATTTCTCTCTCGCGCTGAAATTCTTATTTTAATATTCACAATTATGAGGAAATGTTCTTTTTCTCTTCTGTAACTTTCTCGGTCATTTCGTGAGGGGGAAAAATTATGACTCGGAGCAATTTCTAATACAATATATAATTTGTGCTGATTTCATTTTAACGAATAACCGGAAACCCGGACGATTCGCTAAGATGTCTTCCATTAAGGGTGGCGAGTTTGGGCAATAAAAGAGCGACTCTGCCAAGATTTATTAATCACAGAAGGGGAGCATGGAAAAATATTTGCAAACTTGCCAAGTGAAGTGTAATCACGGAATCATGGGCAAAATTGGATGTCGAAGCATCGATATACTAAAAGTTAAATTGCCCCACACAATCTCTCCCTCTCTCTTTTTTAATTCACCCTCGCCCCTCGCTTTTTTTTCAATAACAACAACCTATGAAAATTAATATGAAAGTTTGGCCGTGGGGAGAAATGTTGGACGTGAAATGTGCAGGTCAAAATGGCTCGGGAGCAATTGTTTGATAAGAAACTTCCTCCCCGAATATCGTCGAGTCATTTAATTACAAGTCTCTCGCTTGGGCTTCGAAAAGATGTTTAGTCACAATATTTTCCCTTTTTCCACCTCATTAAAATTCATTTTTGTACCAATTTGTGTTAAAATACAACTTTCTCTACATCATTAAATAATCTCCTCTGTTTGGCGGGTCTTAGCTGTTGGGAAAAAAGTCTCACGCTCCGTCAACGGTTATATAACACTTTCGGCGGGGTCTTGGGCGACCGGTGGGGCAGAGAGGGTGCGGAGATTCTTGAGGATTTCCCCGCAAACAGCACTCTTTTCCACTGCGCCGTATAACATTTTCCCAGCTGCGAGAGTGTCTTCGATATAGAGTGGAAAAGAACCCGAGAGAGAGGAAAGAAAGATGAAGTCACTTTGTCGCCTTTTCCTCTCGCCAGCCATAAAAGATGGCAGTGCTGGGGAGGAAAAGCGCTTCGTGGGTGCTCGAGGAATGACAAAACATGCCCTCGACGGAATTCCAATTCACCTCGCCATCGCAATGCATTATCAACAATGAACTTTCTTCTCACGACTTGCACGGAGAATTTCTGTCTGGAGGATGCTCTCTGGCCGAGGGAAAATATGTATAAGAACATTTATCGAATTTCAATCTATTATTATCGACCTATTTCCAGCGATTCATGCGATATTATTGCTCATATGAGAGTGTCTATTGTAAAATATTTCCTCGAAATAGCTCAAATGCCAACCACGCCTCACTGAACAGCTCATACACTCAACTCCCTGAGCACTCCAGTGGGGCGACCGAACGTGGTAGGACGAGGATAATGGAATTTATCTTCCAATGACATCAAACATTGTGACAATTTCTGTTTTATTCAAGGGGATGCCTTCGATTTTCCACTTACGGCCAGGCAACTTCCCTAAAGTATGTCCCTTCAATTATCTTTTATGTGCTGAATCTCCTTCACGATGGCATTTTTCATCGTCACAACTCCACACGTCCTCTACACCAGCGAGCACTTTTCAATTTTCTCACCGGCGAGAGCCCGATGCCCCGGAGCTGTTTGGGATGTTTTCTGAGAAAACATCTCGCTGACCTTCCGCGCGAGAGAGAGAATGGAAAGCAATTATGGAAAGTAGAATATTTAATGCCATCCCACTACAGCTTTATCTTAATCCTCCAGCTTTTTTACCACGCCAAAGCACTTCCTCCTTCTTCAGCAGAATATTAATTAAATATTTGATTCTGATCCCGAAGAAATGGAGAAATCGCGAAGAAGGCACAAATGCAGAAGGGCAAAAAAAACAGTAGATGCGAATTGCATTGGTAAATGGAATTTTATAAAACTCCACAATCGACCAATCCGGTGAATTAAAGCTTCCTGTGAGCTGAGCTTTAATGCAAATTGGAGGTAGATATGAAGCAAGTTCAATTTGTGCTTATATAACGAATTCGTTTCTGTGTCACGGCAAAAAAATTCTGTCGCTCAAAGCAAAATAAAAGACTTCTTGGAACTGTCATGCGAAGGAAGAGTAATCAAACGACTGTGTCTAATTTTTATGAATTTCCCTCATAACTCACTGACGCTGGATGTTTGTTCTTCCTGTCACCTCACCGTGCACATGAGGTGAGTTTTGGAGCAGCTGCGGGATGGGGGGGGGGGGAAAGGGAGGTCTAAATTTGATGAAAAATGAAGAGGAAACCACACACAAAGTATCACATCAAATTCTAATCAAAATTCTGGTCACTGTTGTCGACTCTCTTCGCATTATAAGACAAACTGCAATTCCCTCGACACGTCTTTCATCATTTTCGAGTCCGATGGCAGAATGTAAATAGAAAGTTGTCTGAGAGATGATGCGGGGTGCCCACAAGTGGTGATTCAAAAATATTTACTTTCCTCTCGCCAGAGGTTTTCTTTTCTCACTGAGGGAAAGTACTGAAAAATTGGTCGACTTTTCCGCCAGCCCACAATAGAGACCGTGGAGGATTTATTTGCGTCCGCTGGGAGGAGTTTTCTCGTGAATCGCGCGATGCTTCGTAATGAATTCTTGACGAGAAGTCTCAATAACCATGTTCTCTTGTCTCTTCTACTCTCTTTAATGGTTAACAGCATCATTTGTGCCGCTTTTGTACATTAATTTTCATGTCTACATGATAAATAATTGTCTCTATGACACACAATTGTAATAGTAATCTCCTCTCATTTCTCGTATGTATAATATGCATATAAAATGTGGGGAGGCTGGTAAGACCCTGGTGATGGCGTAGAAAAAGGAGGCGAGAAAGTGCGATGGATCATCAATTGACGCGTCGAGGCGTGGAAAATTGGATTAGTTTGCTGCAGATCTTAGACACTGACGCTAGGCTCAGACAGCGGAATCCACTGTGCCGTGGCAGACTTGGTCCTGAACATCTCCTCGAAGAAGTTCCTCTCGTCCACCCGCACGTCCGTCGTGTTGCCGATCACGGCGCGGCCCAGCGGCTCATTTGGCCCCAAGAGACTGTCGTGCATGACAATGAACTCAATTAAGCACGACTTGAGAGTATCTTTCGCAATATCAAAGATCAGCGCCTCATTGAAGACTGGACAGATGTTGGCGCGCTGCACGCCGGTTTTCCGCTTCTTCAGCTTCTTTCCCCCCTGCAGGATGCTCACCTTGACGTAGGGATCTGCAAAAGTGCGAGAAGAGGTGTTAATTGGCTTATTTTGATGGGATAAAGCTCATGCTCTCCCCCTCCAGCCCCTATTAAATTAGAGACAATAATAACGATGGTGTAATGGTTGTCCTGAAACTTTGTCAATTTGGGTGTTTTGTCTAATTTTTAGAGGAATTTAATTTTAAATTTGAGATTCAATTTGCGATAGCCTTAATTAGGGCAGGAGGGCTAATTTGATGTTTTCATGTTGCCTCATTGCGTTTTAATCGTCGTACTTTTAAAGCCCTGATAGTATCTCGGCTATGTTGTCTCTTTAATTTGCCTTAATGATTATGACTGAGGATGAAATTGTGGGTGGCCAACCTGAGGAGTTGCGGCTGTCGTCCACGACTCGCAGATTTCTCGCCTTGATGATCACCACCGTGAGCCTCTCGGCGGACGGCAAGTACGACAGCGAGACCATAATATCGCCCAGCTCCACCTTGGCGTCCCGCTCAGTGCAGGAGGTGAGAGGCCGCCAGAGCTCCACCTTGTCCGACAGATCGACGTGGGCCAGCGAGATCTGGGCGCTGCCGATGCTCATGTGCCGCGAGTAGGCGTCGAAGTCGTACAGGAGAATCTCCAGCGTTCGCCGCCCGATGACTGCCGGGCGCTCCTCGAAGACGAAGTCCTCGTCGAAGACGGGATTGAGAGTCCTCTTGTGGATCCGTGTCTGCCACACGTTGGTCTTGTTGGGCAGCAGGCGGATCTTGCAGTAGGGATCGGCGGTGCCGCTGAAGTCGCGCGGCTGGAGATCCTGCGCCTCGATGAGGCGCACACTCAGGATGCCCGCAATTGGGTCGTACAGTAGGGTGAGATGCACGACGCCGTGGGTGTTCTCCGTGCTTGAGACGCTAGGCGTCGGCGAGGCGACCTGCTCAGGGGTGAAGAGTTGAGAGAGATGGAATCGTCAGTTGGGAGATTTCAGAATTCTGCACAAGTTTGTTAAGAAATTGCAAATGATGCCATTGAGTATTGCCCAATTTGCATAAAACGCTCCATAATTTCATCTATCATCTGTACATGGGCAAGTCTGTGGCAGTGTTTGAAGTTCTGTGTGTGGGCGTGCAATTAATGAGGCACTTCTTACCGTGTCATAGAGCGACGTATCGATTTTCGTGTGATCCAGCTTGGCCTGCATGGAGGAGACTTTGAGGCGGGCGGGACTCGTGGCCAGGACCACATGCTTGTCATTGCGGGCGATCGGCACGGTGCTGGAAGCCACCGAGCGGTTGCTCTCGGCGGGAGATGTGGGCGTCGGCAGCTGGCTGTCGTCGGAGGCGGCCGAGGAGTTGGGGGCGTCTGAGCGGCCGGCCCTGGCAATAGGCACCCAGAACGTGGGATCTCCGTCGCCCTGGCGCCCACTCTCGGCGCCCGCCTCGAGGCACGAGGTGCTGCAGCTGATGAGCGCCTCCTGGCTCTGGGCGATGTCGCCGTGCTCAGAGACCGTCTCCAAGAGGTTGTTCTCAAACCAATTGAGCCTGTACGACTTGGAGCAGGTCACGTAGATGAGGACGCACAGCAGAGAGACAATCACGAAGGAGACAAAGCCGTAGAGGGCCATTTGCGACAAGGACACATCCTCGGTGCGCAGCAGATCCATTGTCCACGACGCGAGGGCGGCGAGAGTGTCCTGTGGAAGGCAAGAGAGGCAAATAATTGCGGGATTTTCCACCAAGAAATCTTCAGCCATTTGCGGAATATCTCACTTTCACGCCTTGAGATTCTCTGTCAGTGATAGAGAACATTCTGTCGGCAAATGAAGAATAATGAAAATCTCTCGACATCCCAAGCCATGAGTGAGATTGAATATTAATAAGATACGATTTATCATCATTTCACTGACTCCAGCAGCGTATTCCTATCGATTTTCAGGGCTAAACGCGGGCTTGAGAAACGGCTATTCTTTAATCATTTAAAGCCAGTGAGCAGCAGATGAAAGCAATTAAAATATACACTGCGGCATTGTGTTTAAAATGCAAAAAGGATACTTTGTGATTTTATCAACGTGTGATTGTCAGAAAGCCAAACAGCTGGAATGGATGTTTTTTTGTTAATAAAGCGATGCGTAAATGAGAAAAATATAGGTAATAAAAACACCCCTTTGTGCAAGTTATATATGGAATTTGATGGTTTATAATAGAGTTTGTGTTATTCTTTGCCAATGCTGAGCGCAGTATATTTTGATGTTATTTATGTGACTGATTCCTGCACTTTTGTGATATATTGTTATTGTTATTTATCTGATTATTGTTTGTCGAGTTTCCGTTGTGAAACATGAATTATATTAAAACTAAACCGAAGTGATATTATTCAGGAGAAAATTAAGTGATTTCGGGATGATTTGTGAATAACAGAGTGTTAGTTGGGCTTGCCTAGAGTAATTTGAGGGAATCTTTTGCGGTCATCGGGGTTGTTATCGAACAGCCCGAAGAGGGTGGCACACAAAGGACCCTGAGAACAGTAATTATCCTAAAACATTGATGCGGAGCCGTTTCTGTGAAACTTTCTCTAAACTGATGGCGTCAAGAAGGTGGAATGTTGCGATTTAATTGATGTCTGGCAATCAGGCCGGAATATCATTGATTTAGTGCCAAGTACTTATCACTCCCTCATTTCCCCCCACCCACAATCTGTCCTCCAATTCATTTGGGCGTGAAAGGTGTGGGAGACATTTTCATTTTGTGAATTACTCCATGGGAGCACCAGTCAATTTCCTCTTGATCCATTTATTCCATTGACACGATTTCTGAATTAATGGATCAAATTGATTTTGCACGGCAGATATCTTCATTTTTCCTCAATCAATGCCAAAAAGGTGAAAGACTGCGATGAAGAGATTAAAATTTCCATTTATTTCAATTAAGGCCCTCGTGCGCGACGGGCGAGATTTCTCCCCGCGGCGTCTTCAGTCTCGCGTGCCACCCTTTTTTTCTCTCTATGTTGGGGGGAGGGAAAAGCAAAAAGATCAAAGGCGGCAATGTTTGTGGAAAATTTCTTGAATTGTCCCCACTGACTTTCCCGCCTTTTTCGCCAAATGACTGAAAGAGGCTCAGGAAAATACGAATGTTAACTTTATCACATTTTGTGCGTCCTTCCGCGAAAGGAGCTTTTATAATTCCCATGCTGGCAAAGTAAACAATCTTTGTTATTCTCAATGTTGGATCATCTGCGAAGGGTGAGAAAAGTGTGTGTACTTAAGGCGTAGACTTCTTCTATCATCATTCTGCGTGACGCGTAATCAGGTCAGATGGAACAATAGAAAACACCTCATATATTCCCATTATGGGTGGTCAATACCGAAATCAGGGGACAGGTGTGTTTTTCCTCTCAAACAATGTACATTTTCTCGGCCTGAACTCGAAAACAAATCAATTTTCTAATCTAATTTTCCACCACGTCAAATTATCTTGGTGAAACATCGCAGGGTATCATTTTCGAGAGACTGAATATTCATTTCAGCGCAAATTGACTTCTTGCTGTGCTATTTGCCCCTCGTCAATTCTCATAATTAATGATGAAAGACTATCAAGCAAGGCGCAATGATTCTTGAGATAAATGCTTTGGTGAATGGGCGCAAAAATGAGGGTGTGACATGGTGAGAAAAAGCGTCTGGCAGGTGAATAATGGTCAGGCGTCGTATTTGTATATTTGGCGTTGTTTGTGAGTGCTGGCAATTTAATGCAGCTCCACCGTTCAATTATTCATGCGGGACTCTCACTCGCCCTGCATGCAATTACAACTGGTCAAAGGCTCCACGTGGGCATGTAATTGTGGAGTTCGGTGGTCCTGGTAATTTAAATAAATAATGCAGCCAGTGCCGTAGATTTAAAACGCCCGGAGAACAAAACATCCTGCGAACCATATGGAGGTGAGAAACACGACATTTTCATTTTTGTGCACGGCCACCAATTGCTGGCCGGGTTCTCATGGCGATGGTCAAATATTGCTGGTGTGGTTTACATAAATAAACGCCCTGCGGCCCCTCTCTGGGGATTCTCCGGGGAGTTTCGCCAGCGCCTCACCCTCTCTCGCCTGGCTGATAAATGGGATTTCTGTCTCTGTTGTCATTTCGCAACTGATAACAGTATTCATTGATTGTCCATATGTTAAGAAAATCCAATACAGCGATACCATCAACGGGTGAATGTGTATTTTTATTATTTCCAATAAAACAAATACACTCTGTGCCTTATCGCGTGATAGAGGCAATATGTATTTGCTGCAATTTATTATTGCTCTCAGGAGGATGATAAGCGCGAATTAATTTGGCCCGGGAAGATGCTGCCTCGCTCTCTGCTTTGGCCCCATTAATAAATATTGACAGAGTAAATATCACTAAAATTATTCCCCTTGTTGTACATACTTCCCAGAAATACGCACCACAGAGAATCATCCCAATAGATATTCAAGGCGATATGTAGTGAAATGCCAACATTACCTCTGACTCGGAATTGATTTTTCTGCCTCTGCTCAGCCCAAATTATTTATGATGGGAACCAGGAGTTGCTCTTGAGCAACAGGATACCCGAAAGTGGGGGTGCTGCGAGTGATTCGGCAAAACTGCTGAGGTGCGGAATTGATCCTACGGAACTTGTTCACTCTGGAGCACCATTTGACGTGTTTTCCACGACGCTGGAGACTTTGCGGTGTGTGCTGGCGAGGAAGGGAGTGTGTTTACACCTTGCGGACAATGCTGCGGCTGCCTTTTCCACGAAAACTCCAACTACGACTGAAGATGGTGTTCGGGGAAAATTCTCCTGTTGCGTTTGTTCGCAGTGTGCGGAGGTGATAAAAGTCCATTTTGTGGTGTTAAGCATGCCGAGCGGGGGGGAGCGGCGGGGGCGGCGGTGGGGCTCCAATGTGGGCAAATGTATGCGGGAAAGTGCGCACAATTGTTGCGTGGATTTCCCACATACACACAGCGAACAGTTGGATTTTCATAAAATATGCACAGTCACATGGCGCAGGTCCCTTTCGCTCGGCTTCCCCTCCGTTCCCCACCCCCACGGTTGGGGCTGAAAACTCATTACTGCCGCTATATTGGACCCCACATGCGGGAGAATGTACATGATTATCGGCTATAAGTGTACGCGATAAAGCTCCAGAAATACTCGTATCCATCATCTTTGGCAAATATAGCGCCGGGCAGAAATAGACGGTGGGGGAGTGATGACACTGAAACCCTACGCCCTGCGATCATCGTCGGATTTAATTGACTGTCCGCAGTGATACTCCCTCGGGATTTTCAGCAAAAGCACATGAGATTATCCAGTGAGTGTCGCCACTTTGGATTGGCGCCACGAGCGAGAGATGAGAAATTACTTCTCACTTAAACTGGATGTGAATTAATTGATTTAGCGCTCCAGTTGATTGTACGTCATTTATACGCAATTCAATTACATTTGGTATTTCAATATAAATTGCTGTGACCAAAATTAATTGGGTCTGTCACAGAACGCATCACAGGTGCAACACATATTGAATCGCAGATTAAGCTCATGTTCTCGACAGAAATGTATATGCAGCCTGTTAAGGATTATTTAGAATGTTTCACAGATTAATGTGTATGTTGAGTTAATGGGTATTATTTGGGAGATTGTTACCGTCAACTCTGATGACACACTTTACAAGCGCAGTTCAACTAGTATTTCCGAGCGTTATCAAACAAGGTTAATGATCTCTAAATTCAAACAGCATCAGAGTGCAAGAAACCGCCTTGTAAAAAGCTTCAAACCCGGTCAAAAGGGTTAAATCGCATTAGCATTTGACTTTTTTTCCGCATTTCTCTGTCGGATTCTAGGTCGATTTGTAGATTAGACATTGAAGTAATCTGCTCCTCCTTGAGATGAATCGGTTGGCCTTAATAAAAATTAAATTTCCGGGATACGAAAATGTGAAGCATCTCTGGGAAAAGTCCTCCAAACATTCGTTGACTCGTGCGACACGTGTTAACAGTGTTACTGAAAAATTACTGCCAGTCTATTGCTCAGCACGTTGAGCATTTGCTGCGTAAATCTGCCGGAATTTCACCTTTACGCCCATGAGATATCTATCTAAATGTGGTCTATAATTCTCTCGCAAGAGGAGAACCTTTGCCAGCAGAATGGCGCACGCGAAGAGTGAGGGAAAGTTGTGCTTTAATCAATCGTTTGGAAATTGCAAGTTTAACACCCGCAGAAGAGGTCCTGGGAAATGTGCAAGACAAGATAATTCTTCATTGGACACAGGAAGAAAGTTTTAATTGAACCCCCCGCACTCAGTGTCCAAGTTCCCGAACTCAATCCTCGGTGAACGCTATCAGATGGTAAAGTTTTCGGGCGGCTTCCCTATATATTGAGAATAAATTACCATGACCGTGGATGAATCTACTTGTGACCCCGTCACGTAGCCATCGGAGGGCGGAATATCCGGGGCAGCGCACGGTCTATTTCTTCAATTAAGTGGAAACGTGGGAATTTTATCTGTGAAATTGGCCGCGCGGAGCTATAAATCCGCTTTTGCTGCCTCAGCAGCATCACTCTTTGGCGACAAAGCAAATTTCAATGAGTGACAAAGTTTTAGAGACCCTCTTGTCAAAGGTTATCTCTGGTGAGATTTTGTACAATGATTGAAATGTTGAATTTGCTCGAGTGATTTTCTCAATTAAATTCTATCGGCAGAATTTTTGCCCAAAAGATCGTAAGAGGAAAGAAAGAGTGAATATAATTCTCAATTGCGCCACATTTGTCGTCACTCCAAATCTATCATTCGCTACTTCAAATAGCAAAATAAATCTCATACTACGCAAACTTATAGCATAATCTCTTAGATAGTTCCGTGTTCTTTCACCCTTTCGTTCGCGCACTCTTTGAGTACTTTTTGCCTTTTTTTCCCGTCCATCACACCATCTCGAGAGATTAGTCGCTGTTGGTGCAAATTGCGAAGTACTCCACAGAAGAGTGTCAACTTCGCCATGGCCGAAGTAAATCATTTGGAAATTTACTTGGGAAAGCATTTATCACTCCTTTTTTCTTCCCATGTCTTCGCGTAAGCAACAAAAAAGAGCTTCTCCGGGACATTATCACAGTATTTTTGTCTATTTTTGCCTTTCTCTCTCTCAGTGCTAAAATGAAAAAGTCATCAACTTAGGTATCTTTGCGTTACATAATATATAGACTCTCTCGAGTATACAAAATTAAATGAAAATGCGATAAGAATGTCTCTCTTTTTGCTCACTGTTTGCCTCCCAGGGCGGTGAAAGAAAGCCATGGGATTATGCGAATTTTTGAGGACAATTTGCCAAAAGCGAAGTCAAAACATGGGCAAATTAGAAGACAATTTTCTAAGACGTCGGCCAAGACCTTTTACCCAGCAGCTCTTCATGAGAACAGAAAGCAATGTAACCTCATTGGAAATAATAATAAAAAAAAAGAGAGAGAAAGCATGGAATGGGCAAAAGAGGGAGAGTTTTAATTAAGAAAAAGTATTTCCTCGGAATTTATAACATGGAGAAGCGCCTTAAAGACCGACATTTGATAAAAAATTTATGAGGGTAGAATTTCTGGGTGTAATTTTTCTGGAATTTCGTCACGTGTGAAAATTAAGGGATGCGCAAGTGGAGTGAGTTGGGTGTTAAATCATGTTTAAATCATTCTTCGTTCTCAGGGAAAATCCATTTATTTGGTAAACCTTTTTGAGGATTTCCCATCTTAAAGCCAGCGCCTGAAAAACTGTCGTTCGTGGAAAATACAAATTACCCTCCCAAATCATCCTATGATGGGCACGATTGGAAATCGAAGACGACAAACTCATTCGTGTCTTTATAATTAGTTTATTTTTAATGGTAATATGTACATACCGAAGACGTATTACAATATTTATTAGGAGACGCTGAGTCTCCGCCCTGTAGTGAAACCGTTCGTTAACTCTAGAGAGACACTTTTCCTGCAAACTTAAGGCCATTGTGTAGACTAAATACTGCTCGGGCACAAGTTTATCCGACGCTCACGCTATTGAGGCAGGTCGGGAAGGTAGGTCTTGAACACGGGCTTCTCGCAGCGGAATATCCTCTCCTTCTCGGGGAGTTGTCCAATTTGCCACTTCTTCAGCGAATCCACCGCCTCTTGACTGTGCCCGGAGCCTCTGAATGCAATTGTGGCGTCTCTGCCGGCGTGCTCGAGGAGCACATAGTCACCGCCAGGATGCTGCAATGCCACAGCAGAGCGGAGAGGATTAATTGGAAACTGTCAGTGAAAGGGTCATTTCTATGTCATACCAGCTTGAGGAATTTTGTCACATCGTAGATGCGATCGTAAATGACAATCCAGCAGTCTGTGGCACTGTCGTGATTTGCAACTTCCTCCAGGGAAATTTCAGGTAATTCAATTTCCTCCTCTGGCTCACTGAGGCTCGTCTCCAGGTGATGAAGTGGCTTCTGGCGACGCAATCTCAGAGCATTCATGGCAAATTGCACGAAATTGTTAGTCTCAAAAGACTGAGTGAAGCCACCCTTGGTCTCCATCCTTTCTGTTTGCCACACAGAGTATCTGTTCAATTGCCAACACTTGGGATTCTCCAACCAGATACACCACACTTTGCCAATGTTGCCAGGAGCCGCGACTGAAGTGACTGGACGAGCGGATGAACGCGTGTTGATTGAATGTTTTCCATGCTGATGTGCTGCTGTCGACATGGGAATTCATAGAAATGCCCGTCGACTTATGTATTAATTTGCTTGTTTGTGGCACATAACTAACGACGACTTGTATTTATTTGCCACAGCTTCAGGGTGGGAGAAGACAAGACGCCGCTCATGGAGCTTTCGTCACAGTTTCATCGATAACACATATTGTGCGAAGTATATAATAGCCGGAGATTGCGAAGTATCACGAGAGAAGACGCTGCATGAAATCCGTGAACTTGAAAAAGCACGCTCACGAGTCTAAAGTTTGTGAAGGCGACAAAAATAGCAAAAACAATCCTTCCACAATAAGTCTGATGAAATGCATACGTGAGATTGTAGCACGCGTTTGGGGTGTTAGAAAAACTATACTTCCCACTCTCAGTGGAATTTCCTTATCTCGGGCAGTGATAAGACGGCTCAAAACATATACTTCACAACCGAACCACTGGATTTTCATGTGTGTGGCCTCTGAGGCTATCCAGACAATTCAATCATAAATTAAGTGACCAAGACAATGGGTAGACTTACCTCAAAACCACAAGAACCACTTGCACAATAAACAGCTTCAACGGTAAATTTACATGCGAAGCAAGCAGACTTGGTTGAATGATGCCACCGGAAATGGGAGATATTCCGGGAAATTCACTCCAGGAGCAAGAAATTCCTACTTTCCATCAGTCTCATATGTTCTAATTGCCCTTCTTTGTGCCATGCATTCCTCTTAATACACCTAATTAAAACCTCTGTTGTTGTTTCTGTACATAACATGCGCTATTAACAAACTACTTTCATCAGTCAGTCAGTCGCAGCGGGAAAATATTTAATTCCACCTGGCGCCGAGATGGAAAACTCAAAAGTGCGTCTGCAAAGGCTTGAATTTCACAAGTTGAATGTTGAAATATTTCCTTCACTCGCACCACATCGCCAGCAAAAGTTCAACAACGAAGGGTTCTGTATACCCTTCGTATACAGAACCCTTCGTATAACTCTGTATGTTCATTTAACTACGGAAAATTATTAATGTGAATTCTGTCAATCGATGTTTAAAGTTTTACTTTCAGACCAAAGCTGATTCCCGCTGGAGTTCCTGAAATTTCGCAAAAGGGAAATCTGTTGCATGCTCTCTGAAATTGTACAGAGAATATTTAATGAGGTGAAAAGTCCAATTGCTAAATCAACTTTTCCCGCTGTGTGTGTGTGTGTGTGTGTTGAGTTTTCAGGTGAAATGACAGCGTGTAAATATTGGATTTCATTTCCCATCGGCAATTATCCACCCACAATTTCTTGTCGTTGGTCTCCATAAACGATGCTGACGGATATTTGGGGCTTTTTTACGACCCCCACTTGTCGAAATTCTGGGGCGCAAAATTGCAAATACTGTGCGAGTGGCGTTTGCGCTGTGCGACTATTAACGCGACAATCATGCGAAAACTTAATGGATTTTTAATTAGATTCCACAGCTCGGAGAGTGTTTTGAAGCACGCGCGGGAATTTAGTGCTCTCCTCTAATCTCCAATGCTAAATTGAATGATTTAGAGTGAGGCTCACGGGAGTGTGGAGTGCTGCTCTGTGTCTCCGAGACTCTCTTCGTCGTTTACCTTCCGTGGAATTAATGGCCATCGAACCGTTAATACTTAATATATTGGATCTCATTAGTCAGTCTCTCTCTCCCATTGAGGGAATCTCACTACCACTCAAAATTGTCAATGGTTTAATTGAATTCTGTCTGTTCGGTACTCGAGCCAACTCGAGTGGCCTCTCGTCTCTCCCGCCGAGCCCCTCAACATACTATGCTCTCCATCTCACATGTCTATGCGCTGCATCGTGCCTTTTTTATGCGGCCCCTCGCGTCTGCGATGGACAATTTAGAGTGAGAGATTGTGGTGTGTGAAGAGACACAGAGAAGCAGCAATTATCATCCTGCTTCTTCTCTTCCTCCACTTCATTTCCTCCTTCGTCGTTCTTGCCATCCGCCAGCTCAAACCCCAAAATGCTGGTGTGCAGCGATCGAGACAGTCGAGAAGAACTGCGCCAGTTGGCCGATGGTCTTCCACCGTGATTGTCCACTTAAGAACGCGCTCTCCTCTGGCCATTAGCCATGAATCGCTGGCTCAAGTGTCTCATGCTAATTGGCTCGCTGGCGACTTCTGTTTCATCTTTCGACGGGTAAAGAGTGCGCCTTGTTGTTGCTAATTGCGCTGATGTGAATTCATCAATTTCGCCCAATTGAGAGAGTGCAAAACATCGTATTTATCAGTGTGATTCATCGCGTGGTTGATTTACGTAAATCTCCGCGCGCAATTGGTGTTGGGGAACAACAAGAAAAAAATCACTGACCCACAGATTGAATTGAGCGATTAGCCTTTTTCGTGCAACTGGAATAACAGTATCTCTCTTTCTTCCAGATACTACACAATTATTGCGCCTAAGCACATTCATCCACACTCAGTGTACAATGTCTCCATTGCCACCCACGCCACGGAGGAGGCGAACAACTTCATCGTGGATCTGCAGGGATATCCATTTGGGAAGATGCAGAACTTCACAGCTTCCCGCCAAGTCGCCGTGGCGGCAAATTCAACCAAAACCGTCACCTTTCGTCTCGGCGCCCTTCCCGCGGGCAAATACAAGCTAGTCGTGGACGGTTCGGACTTCAGGAACAGCACGAAGCTCCAGTACCTTCCCAAGTCGCTGCTCTGCTTCATCCAGACGGACAAGAGGATCTACAAGCCGGGAACAATTGTGAGATTCAGAGTTCTTCTCCTCAAGGCCGATCTCAGGCCATCTAAGACCTTGAAGAAGGTCAATGTGGCGATCTTCGACAGCAACAACCTGAAGATCATGGAATGGAACGAGGCGGACTTGAAGCACGGCGTCTTCTCGGCAGAATTGCGCCTCTCGCAGGATATCTCCCTAGGATGGTGGACGATTGAGGCGAAGGCTGCCAAGATGAAGTCCGAAGAGGTCTTCACGCAGCGCTTTGAAGTGGCTGAGTACATTCTGCCCAAGTTCAAAGTCGAAATACAATCCGAGAAGTTCAGTACATTCACCAAAGGAAGCTTTAAGTTTTCAGTGAAGTCCGAGTACAACTATGGAAAACCGATGAAGGGAAACTTCACAGCAACAGTTTCGCTGAAGCCTTACATTGGATTTCCCAAGATTCCCATTGCGACTAAGACTGGGGAAATCAACGGAGTGACGGAGATTGAGTTTAGCTTTGAGGACGATTTGCATCTGAAGCAGAAATTCGACAGGATCTTTACTGTGGATGTCACAGTGCAAGATAACTTGACGGGATTGTGCCAGAATACCAGCGAAGAATTGGGTGTGTTTCTGGCCAAACACGCAATAAGTTTCCTCACTCCTCCAGATTACTTCAAACCCGGCCTGAATTACAATGTCATCGTCTCGGTGAAGCACCACGACGGATCTCCCTTCCTTGGCAAGGAGGAGAACAACGTGACTCTCCTCTATGGATACGATTACGAGACGGCTGAGGAGAATTCTGTGAATCTAACTTTAACCAGCGAAGGACTGGCTTACGGAGGATTCTTCGTGCCTCGAAATGTTAAGAAGCTCTACGTGAAGGCGCTCTTTGAGGATGCTCATGTGATTCTTCCGCATATTTTACGTGCAAGATCCAAGAAGAAGCGCTTCATCTTGGCCAATCTTATCACCAAAACTCCCACCGTGAATTCCACTTGCATCGTTGAAGTGACAACGACTCATCGGCTCAACTACCTGACTTACCACATCGTGGCCAGAGACAATCTCGTCTACACGGCTTTTGTGAACTTCACCACCGACGGAGTCATGAGAATCTCCTTCCCAGTGACTCCGGAAATGGTGCCATCGGCTACTTTCCTCGTCTACTACGTCGCCAGCACGGGATACTTAATCTACGATCGGCTGGTGATCAACTTCCACCTCAAAAACACCTTCAATCTCAAAGTCTCGCACGCCACGGCGACGCCTGGTCAAGAAGTGATCATCTCTATAGACTCCGAGAGTCCGGGCTTCGTTAATCTCGTGGCAGTGGACAAGAGTGTGCTGGAGATGCAACACGAGAAGCACATGCTGACGGAAAAAAGAGTGGCAGAAACTCTGCAGGACTTTGTCAAATACTCTCCTCTGCAGATCGTGAGGAGTCTCAGGCGAGTGCCCAGGAAGAAATTCTTCAAGGAGTTTGACGACGCTGGAGTGATTCTCATGTCGAATGTGAAGAAAGGCGGCAAGAAGCCTGGTTTCAGCCAATTGCTGACCTTTGATGAGGAAGAGGAACTTCCTGATGAGGCAGATGAAGATTATGGGGAGTTTGAGGGCGTGATATCGCAGAAGGACGTGACCAGTGGCGAGCCTGGAGAGATAAACGCCAGAAGATACTTCCCAGAGACCTGGCTTTGGTGGGATGTGGTGACGCAAAGCAAGGGAAAGTTGCTGATCAAAGTGAAGGTTCCGGACAAGATCACTGGATGGGTTCTGAGTGGATTTTCCGTGGATGAGAACACAGGTTTGAGTCTCATAAAGCAGCCAGTGAGCGTGAGTGTCTTTCAGGCATTCTTCATCTCCACCAGTCTTCCGTATTCCGTCAAGAGGGGCGAAATAGTCACGATTCCGGTGGTTGTTTTCAACTACTTGAACGAAACAAGGCCTGTTGAAGTGATCTTCCGGAATATTCAAAGGGATTTCTGCTTTGAAGATCTCTCCATTTGCAACGCCTCCCAAAGGATCGAAATTATGGCCACAAACCAGACGGGAACCTCCCTGGAATTCCACCTCATTCCACAGCGCCTGGGCAGAGTTAAGTTCGAAGTTGTGGCGCGGAGTGGAGATCTCATGGATAAGATTGTCAGAGAATTGCTCGTGGTGGCTGAAGGAGAGGTTCAGTACGATAATCAGGCTTTTCTGGTGGATCTTCACACCTTGTCTTCTGCTGCGGAATCCTTCACGCCACATCTGCCGGACAACTTTGTTCCAGACTCTCTGGAGATGAAGATCAACATCATGAAGAACATTCTGGCCAGTTCCATGGAGAATCTCGACGAACTCGTGCCTCATCTTCCCACTGGATGTGGAGAGCAGAATTTAATCACCTTCGCGCCAAATGTCGCTGTTCTGGACTACATGACTCGGACAAGGAGGCACAACGAGGATCTCCGGATCCGAGCACTGAGATTCATGCGTCAAGCTTATCAGAGACAACTCAAGTTCCGCCACCGCGATGGTTCTTTCAGCGCCTTCGGAGATGCTGACGAGACGGGAAGCATCTGGCTCACGGCCTACGCGGCGAGAACATTCCTCTGGGCGTCCAGGTACATCACAGTGGACAGGAGAGTGACGGACAAGGCCCTGAAGTGGCTGAGCCAGCAGCAACTGGAGGACGGGAGTTTCATCGAGTACGGAATCTCTATCAGGATTTTCGATAGGGAAATGTTCACTGCCGACACCAATCGAGTGGGAATGACAGCCTTCTCGATCCTGCCCTTCCTGGAGACAGGAATTGGATGGACAAAGTACGCTGCTACGCTTGAGAAGGCTTATGATTACATAGAAAAGGAATTTCCCAATGTGGAAGACGTCTATTCACTGTCCTTGGCGGCTTATGCTGCCCAGTTCTTCGAGGGAAATCTTCGTGAACGCGCAGTGGAAGTCCTCAATGAGAGAGCTCAGCGTGATCGCGGGAAAATCTGGTGGGAGAGTAAGAGTGACGGAATGAATTTGTCCATCGAGAGCACCTCGTACGCTCTCCTGGCCAATCTCGCGGCTGAGCATCTGGAGGAATGCGTGGGAGCGACCAAATGGCTCATCTCCCAGCGAAACTCCCGCGGAGGATTCACCTCCACTCACGACACGGTTCTGGGCCTCTTTGCACTGGCCAAAGTGGCAGAACGACTGGAGTTCAGCAGCAATAGCATGAATTTCACAATCAACCAATTGAACATCAAGAATTTCAGCGACATGAAGTCCATCAAAGTCAATCCTGGACTGAGGAATGTCACAATCACGGCCTCGGGAAGAGGATATGCGATCATTGAATTTACCACGAAATTCAATGTGGGAAGTGCGAAGAAATTCTCCCAGATCGAGTATTTCGCATTGGAGTCGAAGGTGAAATTCCTGGGATCTCATGACAACTTCTTGAATCTCACTTTCTGCACCCATTTCAACCCTCAATCGAGATTCATGCGCCAGAGCAACATGACAGTGATGGAGATTGTGCTGCCCAGCGGTCACAGAATCGACAGGGATCAGACAAATCTGCTCAACGGACTGCAGACGTTCAAGAAAGTGGAGTTCAGGAACGGCGACACGAAGGCGATCATCTACTTCTGCGAGATCACCGAGCAAGATGTCTGTCCAACGCTGATGGCTTACAAGACACACAGAGTGAAGAGAGCTTATCGCGGGAAAATCTCCATCTACGATTACTACAACCCAAGTGAGTGTTTTTCACTTGTTTATTGCTTCCCTAGAAACATTTTTAATTTCCATCTCTCTTCCAGGCATTATCAACAGGGAGTTCTTCTGATTTTGTCGCCTTCATCCGTTAAGACTTAAGTTTGATCATACTCTTTTTGTATTGTGTAAAGTTAGTAAAGAAGCTTTCCTAGATCCACAGGAATCTTGTAATCAGAGATCCCAGAACCAGGTAGATGAGAGATTCGACTTTACTAGAGGACCCCACGGGTCCTGGTCTGTCCAGAGGACTTCCTGGCTCCTTGTCAGAGGTCTGCTGCTGAGCCTGTGGCGTGCACGACTGTCCGCAGTCATCTCCCTCGCAGATGTCACACAAACTAGCCGGATTGGCGCTGTAGAACATCCTCGCACGACGCGCTACAAATTGCAAGACAACACTTAGAATACTCCACAAAATCTTCACAACGCAACCAACTCACCATTATCATAATAGTCGTAAACGGTCACAGCTGCCGGCTTCTGATGAGCCACTTTGAATGTCCTGAAGGCAGTCAATGTTGGGCATCTCTCCTTCCGGTCCAGATTGTCAAAGTACACCACAACTTTGGTGTCTCCGTCTTTCGTCTCCACCTTCTTCACCTTCTCCAGCATCTGCAGTGATGGCAGAGTGTCCAGATCGGCGGTGAATCCACTGGGGAAGCCCACTTCCATCACTGCCATGTTGGACTCATTGCCAGCCGCGCTGTCTGGGATGAAACTCGTGCACACTGAGAGATGCAGGAAGTCCTGATTGCTGTTCTTATTCACCTGCGGATCCAGTGTGAAGCGCGGCCAGGCGCCGGTGACATTGAGATTGTATCTGTAAGACAGCTGAACCACAACGAATCCCTTGCCCTGTGCCGACACAGTCACATTCCTCACATTCGGAGAAAGCTTGACACTCTGGAGAACCAGCGAGTTGTCATTGTCCACTTTGAGATTAGACTTCTGACCATCCTCAGCCTCAACAGTCATTTTCACGTCATTTCCTCCTCCTGGGCCGCCTCCTGAAATCTTCTCAGCGAATTTCGCCAGAGCTGTGATGCCCACAACGGTGTCCTGTGTGGATTGGAAGCCTCCTTCGCTGTTCCTCTGACCAATGAGCCACTTCATCACCGGCAAAGCATCCTCCACGATTCCAGCTTCCATGTAAGTCAGCAGAGCGTACGCTGTGAGCTCCACATTGACCGAGTTGGGCTGTCCATACCAGGGATTCTTCTTGTCCGCTTCGGGAATGGGCTTATGCCACCACTTGAGCTGCGCATCTGTGGTCGATTTGCCCTCCATCAGAGCCAGAGCGTTGCTCCTGGAGCTGTGCTGGGCAATGTGAAGAGCATAAGCGGCCAGAGCCAGAGCATAGACATCATCCAGTCCTTCGAGGTTCCTCGCAACATAATCCAGAGCCTTGTTGATAGTGTTCTGATGCTTGGGCACATCATTGCGATTCTCCAGGAATGTGATGAGTGTGTATGCAGTGAGAGCGATTCCCTGACCAGCTCCTCCTTGCATATCCTTGTGCGAAACGTGACCCACTTCAGGGAAGCTTCCATTCGGAGCTTGTTGATCACTGAGCCAATTGAGAGCATTGGTGATCACTTCCTCCTCGACAGCGATGAATTTCTTGGCTTGTCTGAAGGATCTCGCAACAAAGGCGGTGAGCCAAGTGCTTCCGTTCTTGTCACTCTCGCCGAAGGCACTGAAGGAACCATCCTTGTGCTTGTACGTCAACTCTCTCTGGTATCCAGACTCCATGTACTTCAAGGCTTTCTTCTCGATCTCAGGCGTCTCCTTTCCAGTCACCTTCAGATAGTTCAGCACCACAATATTGGGCACAAAGTTCAGCATATTCTGCTCTCCGCATCCGTAAGGAAGTCTGATGAGTTTGTCCAGATTCTCAATGGTCGATCCCAAGAGATCTCCAAGCACGGACACCTCAACGTGAACAGAGTCTGGCACGGCGTTCTTTGGCACTTCGAAGGGCAGATTGGCAACAGCATTCGGCTCCTTGTTGAGGTCCACGAAGACGGATTTGCTCATGTACTGAGGAACTCCTTCGGGCTCCACCAGGAGAAGACGTTCGACTCCATCTCCAGCCACTGCTGACGTTGCAGTCACTTTAATGGTAATGTGTCCCACCTTCTTAGGCGTCACCATGAATGAGAGCGCTTTTCCTCCGTTGGCCGGAACTGTGACTCTCTTCTTGCGGTACAATTCGAGTTCTGGAAGGATGTTAAGATAGCATTGAGGGAAGGTTTCATTCCACCCAGCAATGGCTGTACTCACTGGGATTGGGATTAACATCATTGGTGACCTCAGTGAAATCAAACTCCTGATTCACATTGTCCAGCGTCACTTCCGCCTGAACATCGCTCTCCATGTAGTTGAAGACAACAATTGGAATTGAGACAACTTCTCCGCGTTTCACCGAATAAGGCAGATTCGTGGAGACGAAGAAAGGCTGGAAGACTTTCAGAGTCCGCGGATTCTGAGTCATGCCGAAGCCTGTGATGGGATCAATGGCGAATCCCGTGATCACCCAGGAAGTGATGGTGTCTGGGACTTTCTTGCGTAGCGTCGTCTTTCCCTCGTAGCTGCAAAAATTCACACAAGAATCATTGCAAAGGACGCTCTTGTGGACACTCTTCAGTGAGCCACAGAGACAGAAAGGAGACTTCATAAGTCTTGTTAATTTCATTAATGGGTTTATATTAAGTTTACCAAAATCAATTATTTTTAATCATTTGAATAAACCCGACACACGTTATTTCCAAATGTGTGTGTGTAGATTGAAATTTAATCACTCTGGATTAAGGGAAGTGCGGATATTAAATGGCAGTAAATATTAATCAATTAGAGCTCTTTTGCAATTATTGAAACTCGTGTTTTTTTTGGGAGGGACACAATAGTATTAATTTTATTTTAATAAATTTAATAAATTGTGGCTCAACTCCTTTCTCGTCTCTGCAGTCGAGTGGAGAGAAGGTGAATGTCACATGCTGTCTTAATTGCCACCAGACATTTTTGCATTCAGCTCACCTTCTCCCGTGCTTCTCTATCTCCCACAAGGTTAATAGAAAATAACATCACAAAACGAAGCGAGCAACAGAAGCGAACACCGTCACCAGAAGCCCCGGGAAAATTCCACCCAAAAGACAGGTCTATCGAAGTTTTACATGAAGAGTTAAAACCACGTGTTAGCGATGCGATGAATGGAGATTAGGGTGAGATTGCGTGATTTTTCATCGTCGTCATAATTACCCCGATGAAGTATTGAGAAAGAGCCACGTATCCCGGATATCATGCATGAGATACACACGTGGGTGATTCCACGCCGGCCGCGGGATGCGGCTGAAAGCATAGGGACCGGCGAGTGGAGGACGTGTGTGCAATTTGAATAAGTGAGCAGGACCCAAATCTGTCCTCTTGCGTGTCACATCGTCCACGGAATTATAGCGCTCGGTCGTGATGGGCAGGAGGTTCTTCGTGGTCAAACCTTGGCAATGGCATCAAACAGTGCGTGTCAAATGGAAGAGGATGAAAGACAACCACAGATAAATACAGTGTGTTAATCATGCACTAGAGAATATCTCTTCAACTTTCTCTGCACAGAAATATCCAATCACAAAAACCAAAAAATAATAAAAGAGGAAAAACTACTCAGGAAGAGAGGCTTCAGAAGCACCCGTGAAAGATAAATGAGCAAATGATGATTTTTACGGACCCAATTGACTCGATATCTTCCCAAATCCACGATTCAGGGAACTTTGATCGGATCATGACGGGTGGACTCTGGTCAGAAGTCCCTTCAACTGCCACGGTATCAATTTTGACTGTTGTTGACAAAGGCGCCGAAAATGGAGTGCTTACGATGAATTCGGGACCCGCTTTGAATGAGTAGAAAATCGGCCTGAGATTTTCTACTGAATTTGATCCCCCGAGAATTCATGAATGTGAAGAAAAAAAGATTACAATGTAAAAATTGTGAGAAGAAATTGCAGAAAAACACTCAAAAAACGTGCTTTAAAGTCTAAAACCCGCTAAAACCGAAAAATTACGGATTTGAGAAAGAAGAACAAACCTATCTAACAATTCCCAAATCCAAGTTTCAAGGAAATTTCGTCGAATTACTGGTTGAACTTCTTGATTCAAGTCTTGGTCTTCAGCTATTGGAATGCGACTCTCCTTATAAACCCTCCCATCATCAAAACCTCCCCCTCGAGCTGAAACTCCATCGAACGCGTAGTATGAAATTTCACCGCTTTCTACGAAGAATCAATGAAATGACAAAGAATTCTAGATAGAGCAACTGATAAAGGAGGGAACAAACCCAGAATCCTCAACACTACAACCTTATAGGCATCACTAACCCGTCATCTTTCCCGAATTCATCCCAAATCCACGTTTCCGGGAATTTACGGCGAATTTTAGGTTGAACATGAGATTCTGATGAATCACCTTCGCCTACATCAACTCTTTCAGCATCGTCGAAGGCTACTTCCGCCTCTTCTTCAACCTCGAGCGCATAAGCAATGTCTGAATCTTGATAGTCGTAAACTTCTATAAGGTTTTAAGTAAAAGGTTTCGATATTTAAACTAAAAGCTTATTTGCATTCCTTATTAATTCATAACATAGAAACATTTTTACAAAGGCCATTCAGCGGTCAAATTAATGCATTGCATCAGAAATTACTAAAACAAAAAAACACACCCATCTTGAATATCATCCCAAATCCATGTCTCTGGAAACTCTTTCCTAATCTTTGGAGCGCTTACGACACCGCTTATCGAGTGAAATGAGGCATCGACAGTCATTTGAGGGCCTATTCTTAAAGCAACCATTCCGTCACTATCGAACACAATATCATTAACGGGACGTCTAAGATGGAAAAAGGCTACAAGACAAATAAAAGATCCCTTCGAGATTACTCACAGATATAACAAAAAGGCAGAAGTTTAGAAATTGCACAATTTTTAAGTACTCCACACCAACAAGAACTATAAAACTAACCCATTATCTCTCCCCAACTCATCCCAAATCCACGTTTCAGGAAATTCACGACGAATTTTCGGGTCTGAATAACTTTCTCCACCATCTTCTGAATATTCAACAGTGTCTTCTGCCATTGTAAACTCCACATTTTCGAAAAAGCTTGGCGTTGTTAGATAATAATCGTATGATTCTAGAAAGTCAAAGGGACGATTTAATTTAGATTTGCCAATTGAGAAGTGAATGATGCGTTAATGAGACAATCTGTTGTAGTGCAATTAAAGATAGTCATAAGTTTCCAACTCCGTTTGCGATATCAAGAAGACTAACCCGATGTCATTCTCATCTGTCCAAATCCAGGTTTCGGGGAAATCCTTTCGGATCTTAGGGGGCTCTGAAATATCTTGCACAGCAGATTCATCCTCAACTCGGATGTCTATCAAACCAAAAGCTGCTTCAGGAACAATACCGCCTAGCCTATCAGCCAGATAATAGTAATCGTGTTCTAAACAAAAAGTAATGATCTAAATAAATCGTACTATAGATCGAATTCGAGACATCTTCAGGGATATTCTTAATGGTAGATTCTTCAGGAAATACAACCTGATGAGAGTAATGCAGTGCAGATACCATGAAAAGATGATATAGTTGATAAGGTTAGCCAGAGTTTTTCTACAATAAGAGTACTTTTGAGGGCAATTTCAGACACAAACCCATTGTCTTCTGTATCTTCCCAAATCCAGGTTTCGGGGAATTCTTTTCGAACTTTCGGAGGTTCAACTGAACCACCCCCAAAACCGGCTGCCGGATCTACACTTGCAGCAACAGCGAAAGCCACACCAGGCGGGGGAGCGGGAAATGCTGCATTTTGAGGAATAGGACGGAAGAATGGTTGATAGTAGGCTAAAACAATACATTGAACTTGATTACTCTAACGCATTCCCTACTAGTACAATAAGAACTTAATAAATCGAGTTAGGACCCTCTTTAGGTGCATTTTAAATGATAATTGCATCAAGAGTGCAAGGCAGAAACCATGCCAAGATAATATAGAAATTGTATAAGTTAGCAGAGTTTTCCTACGATAAGTAATTTTGAGGAGGACTTCAAAGAGTTTAGAAACAAACCCATTATCTTCAGTATCTTCCCAAATCCAGGTTTCGGGGAATTCTTTTCGAACTTTCGGAGGTGCAACCGGTTTAACTGAACCACCCCCAAAACCGGCTGTCGGATCTGCACTTGCAGCAACGATTAAAAGCGTACCACGCGGGGGAGCGGGAAGTGTTGCATTTTGAGGACGGAAGAATGGCTGAATGAAGGCTAAAACAATACATTGAACTTGATAATTCTATCACATTCTCTACTAGTGAAATAGGAACATAATAAATCGAGTTAGGACCCTCTTTAGGTGCATTTCGAATGATAATTGCATCAAGAGTGCAAGGCAGAAACCATGCCAAGATAATACAGAAATTTTATAAGTTAGCAGAGCTTTCCTACGATAAGTAATTTTGAGGAGGACTTCAAAGAGTTTAGAAACAAACCCATTATCTTCAGTATCTTCCCAAATCCAGGTTTCGGGGAATTCTTTTCGAACTTTCGGAGGTGCAACCGGTTTAACTGAACCACCCCCAAAACCGGCTGTCGGATCTGCACTTGCAGCAACGATTAAAAGCGTACCACGCGGGGGAGCGGGAAGTGTTGCATTTTGAGGACGGAAGAATGGCTGAATGAAGGCTAAAACAATACATTGAACTTGATAATTCTATCACATTCTCTACTAGTGAAATAGGAACATAATAAATCGAGTTAGGACCCTCTTTAGGTGCATTTCGAATGATAATTGCATCAAGAGTGCAAGGCAGAAACCATGCCAAGATAATACAGAAATTTTATAAGTTAGCAGAGCTTTCCTACGATAAGTAATTTTGAGGAGGACTTCAAAGAGTTTAGAAACAAACCCATTATCTTCAGTATCTTCCCAAATCCAGGTTTCGGGGAATTCTTTTCGAATCTTTGGTGGTTCAACTGGTTCAACTGAACCGCCCCCAAAACCTGCTGCTGAATCTCCATTGACAAATCCGAAAAACTCGCCATCAGGCGAGCCAGAAAGACTTAACTCGTATTCAGGCATAATTTCGTCGTAGGCTAAAAACATTAAACACATACATTGAGCTTAATCACTCTACGACATTCTCTACTCTAAACTAAAGTGATTTTTGTGATTTTCATATCCCACACATAAAAGTCAGACTTTGTACAATAGTTTATGTGAATATTTCAGTGACAAACCCAATATCTTCGAAATCTTCCCAGATCCACGATTCAGGAAAGTCTTTTCGAATCTTCAGAGACTCTACAAAACCGTCTTCCAGAGTCATTTCTGTCATTGCGTTTTCAAGAGTTACAAAGGGACCAAAGGAACGAGCAGAAGGGAAGATGTCTGAGAATCCTAGAAAATAAAATATGTTCCTTAAATTTTGAAAAATCAAATTGAATCCGAAAATTCATAACTGAGAGGTCCAAAACAATATATATATATATATACAAAATGTTTCGGTTATTCCTGGCGATATTAATGAACATGAAAACCCCGAATGAACATAGAGGCTACAATGAAAGCTACGTTAAGATCAACGTGACCAACCCATTGTCTTCAGTGTTTTCCCAAATCCAGGTTTCAGGAAATTCTTTTCGAATTTTAGGCGGTTCAACGAAAGCACGTTCTGGTGCCGCGACACTTCCTGGTCTTTTGGCAAGACCAGGAAGTCCTGCCAGACCGATAACACCTGAACGATTCATTAAATTCACTTGTCCCCTTCTGAAGTATGGCCGAACATCTGAAATTGTAAGTAAATCAAGTTCCTAAAATGACGAAATGATTTAGAAAAACTCCACAAATCATGCTTAAACTGCTACAAGTTCAGGAAGCCCAAGTAAAGCATCAAAATCTTGAAATTTTCGAATTCCCAAGGGTTCTAGAAAACCATAATTCAGAAATATCAATGATCGAAATGTTTCGATTATGTTTGTGAACACAAAAACCCCACAATAAATAACTATGCAAAGAAAACTACTTTAAGACCAACCCATTGTCTTTAGTGTTCTCCCAAATCCAGGATTCGGGGAATTCTGTTCGGATTTTAGGCGGTTCAACGAGAGGTGTGAAACCTCCTAGTCTTGGTGGAGGACCAGGACCTCCTCGAAGGTTCCATCGTGGCTTTATAGCACTCATTAAGTAAACGTTTCCCCTTGGATAGGGTCGAAAACCTGAAATTGTAAGTAAATCAAGTGTCTGAAATGATGATGTGACTTTGAAACACTCCACAAATCATGCTAAAACCGCTACAGGTTCCAGAAAGCCCAGTCAAAAGCATCTTAAATTCTTGCAAATCTCATTGACGAACCCATTATCTTCGAGATCATCCCAAATCCAAGTTTCAGGGAATTCTTTCCGTATTTTTGGAGGCTGAACGAAACCACCTCCAAAACCTGCTGCTCCTGCGGCTGCCATGGCAGGCATAGCTAGAGCCACGCCAGGAGCAGGAAGCCCAGCAAACGCTTCCATGCCGCCCTTGTAGTAAAATATGGGCATGCCTAGAAGAATAACCATCTCAATGTGAAGAACTTTCCCAGAGACTCAGGGGAGGAATTGTGAGACAAAATCTTCCAAATCATGCTTCACATTCTGCATGAACAACACTTTCAGCCATCTTAAACGACAGTTAAACCAACCCATTGTCTGAAATTTCATCCCAAATCCACATTTCTGGAAAGTCTTTACGAATCTTTAGACTTTCTGCTGGCTGTTCTGAGTCTTCGTGGCTTGAAAAATTCGTTCTAGCTTTTCCAGTTCTAAACTTCTTCCTCCGACCAAGAAATCTTCTCGGCACGGGATCGAGAGTACGACGGAAAGCTGCTTGAAATTCTATAAAAATCTTCAAATCTTGAGGAAAAACGAAGCATATTAAAGTTTTAAGTCAACTTACGACTTGGCTCCTCCTTGGCATTGGTCAGGAAAACAGCTCCGGCATCCTGCAAGGCAATAAAGAAGTGTTGCTTAATTTTCTTAGCAGACACAATCAATCATCAACTCACATTGAAATCTCGCCAGGTTGGAGTGTACCAAGGAGCGATGAATCTCTTTCCTCTCCAAGGATAGTTTCTGGGATACCAAGTCTCTTCTTGATAGCTGCGTAGGTCATTGAATATGGCATCCTTGGACAGATCATTGCCCGACTTCAGCAGCAACACGCTCTGATCCACGCCCAAAAGTCCCACGAAGGAATTCGGCTTGGTGTTGACTGTCAGCGTGAGATCATCTCCTGGTCCCGCCTGAGTCTTGTCCATCTCCAGCTTCACAAAGTTCTGGAAGCTCGAGCGGAACTTGATGGGTTGACTGTCAGAGACAACTTCTCCGTCCGGCCGGATAAAGTACACCACGAGCTTGGCTTCGGGAACCATGGCGAAGCTCGCCAAGAACTTGAACGTGTGCGAATTCCTGGAAGGCACTTCCACAGTCTTCGAGATGATAATGTCTCCGCGGCCGATGACTTGATATGTGAAGTGCGTCATGGGTTCAGTTGCGTCCACTTGAACGGAAATCTCGCGGTTCACCTCGGGTTCAGCGGTGTTGATGGTGGTCTTGAGGAAGGTGTTGCTGTCCGACGACACGGATGGCGTGTATCCAAGGTATCCCTCAGTGTCCAGATAAGTGGCAACCATGTCAATGTTGCTGACGTTCACGGGAATGTCCAGATTGACCTTTCCCATGCCATTCTCATCGAGATAAACAGTCGAATTCACTGAGTTACTCTTGTATCCATCTTCTGCAGAGTAGAAGTTGTTGGTTTGCCGAAGATACACTGGATTGTTCTTATCCGTCACTGGAGATCCATCACGATTTGCCACTTTCACGCGAACAGTGAAGGGCAAACCAGCCTTGAATCTATCAGAAGATTTAATCAATTCCACTTCGTATCGCGTGCGATAGAGAGTCACGGTTTTAGAAGTGTTCTGCTTCCTGTTCGTCAGCTCTTCCTCCACAACAGCCTCAACTGTGATGTCTCTTTGCCAGTCTTCCTTGAATTTCAACTCATCCTGAATGTCAAACTCCACAGAAGTCTTGCCATCGATCTTGGAGACTTTCCTGGAAATCAAATCGGACACAAATGGCTGGTAAGAGCCGAAGAATCGTGGATAGACAGAAATTGTGGCTTCTCCTTTCACTGGCTTTCCGTACGTGTATTTGGAACGCACGGTGAACCGCAGCTTGCCATCCTTGAAGGTGGCAAATTGAGGAGTGTCAATGGTCACTTCGAACTTCGGCAGCACATATTCCGCCACTTCAATGTTCTTGGAGAACTTCTGTCCCATCACGTCCACCTGGATTGTCCAGTCGCCCAGAACTGGCAGATCTGAAAGCTGCAGCTCATTCGAATACACGCCCTTGACCGGCTCAGCGTCGAGCCACTGCTTAATGCGATTCTGCTTGGCATCCTGAATGTAGATCAACATTTTATCCTTCGGCTGAACCGGCTTCAGATTGGCATCCAGAATGAGAACGCGGAACCTCACGACATCTCCTGGCTTGTACACCGCCTTGTCCGTCTGAATGTACGTGGAAAAGGTCTTCGTGTTGGCGGATATCGAGGTGTAGTTCTTGAAGATCAGTCCCGAGAGACCTTCTGCTGTCAAGTTGTACTCTCCAGGCTCCACTTTGCCGATCTGTCGAGACGAGGAGACAAAAACAGACAAGAGCTTCTTAGCAAATCTCTTCTTTTTGTGCACACATTCCACACGACTTTTTCACGCGACTAGAACACTTCAGGCAATAAGAGAATTTAGCAGATAAACCTGTTCAGCTGATTGCACAAGTTTCCCATCAATTCATCTCAGTAGACGGGAAGAAAAAAATCTAATTAAATTCTCAAGCTGTTGCGATATCACTTATCGGGATGTGGAAAAAGTCAATTTCGGAAGGTTATTCGCGAAATTATATAATATCGCGATAATGGTGAAGGAATTAACACAACTCATCGCTTTGAGACTTTCTCAAACACATGTTTTGATTTATTCAAAACCATTGAGATCTTTTTTCAGTAATCTTTCTGGGAAATGCTGATTAATAAAACATCTCAGAGTTGAATTGCGATTTTTTTTTACTTCGTGGTTCTAATGAATGTTTTTCCTGCTTTGATGATGTTTTCAATTTAACATTTTTGCAATAATAGATGTTCTTGTATCCCAAAAAAGCATGAATAATTCAGATTTTTTTCTAACTTGAAGAAAGAATTAATAAATCATTGAGTTAATGTAATAAAAATGCGCAATTCATGAACCGCTAAAGTTAGAATTCATTTAAAAATATATCTTCATGACTTTCAGAGAGAACCAACATAAATCTACCATAATTTCTCACCAATTAATTAAGTGTCATAATCATGAATGACATCAATAACAACATTCTTCATTCTTCAGTTGCAAATGCATCGCAAATCTCGGCTCTAGTCACAACAGAATAATCACCTAAGATAAGACAAAACACCAATTTGCATCTCAACTCACATCGATCTCCACCAGTTTGCTCGTGTCTGGCTCCAGCGTGACATCCTTGAACTGGGAGAATTTCGAGCCTCCCTCGGACTGTCCTTCGACGCCGACTCTCATCTGGACAGCCTCGCTGGTGCCATGAGTGCTCACGGAAACGTGATATGGGGAATTGGCGCGAAAAACTCGCGAGCCAACGACGCTGTAGTACCTGGCAAAAAAACCATCTCGATCATTAGTGGGACAAAAAGTGCTCACAAATGCTCTGGATAATTAATTCAAAAACTTAAACATGATCTATTTTTTTACTCCGTCTATCACACAACATTAAGGGGAATTTCTGCTGTCCGGACTGCGAGCGGTAAAAAGTGGGATTCCCACTGTTTTCCAGTTCACATTTTTCAAGTGAATTTGCTGTAATTTCGCTTTTTTCTTTCTTTCAAAACACGAGAATAAAAAAACCCCCCAAAGACTTGCGACGCGTGTGTTAAAGTTTATCGTGTCGGACAGATTAGGAGTGTTCTAAGAAAACTTATGTAACAACAATCGTCTCTCGCATTGGCACAAAAACTCCAATGCATCTCCAATATTTTTCCGTGATGAACACAAAAGATTTGTCTCACAGGTATAAGTGGTGATGATGTCAAAACACACGTAGGCACGATGTTTTACTCTTATTTTGCACAACACCAGCGCTCGCGTCCACCAACGCAAATAACTTGCAGTTGGACTTCAGGAAACCAAATTTGTCAAGCTGGATTTTTTCATCATCATCATCATCGCATCGCATTGCTAGTGAGCGATGAATCGCAATCCAACGGCTTTCTTCACGCTCTTGAGCAATTTGGGGGCCACAGAGGGAGTGGGTGGTGAAATTTCAGTCAGTTACATACCCTTTCGCCTCACAGCACACCCCAAAGATCGCGCAGGTGAGAAAAATCGCGAAAATTCGCGACATACTGCTGCACCTCCTGACCTGACCAAGACGCGCACAAAGTCAGTAAAGAGAAGAAAAATCACTTGAACACTGTAGCTTCAATTGCTCGCGCGAGGGCACCTGATCCGATCCACTCGGAGTCTCGACTGGTACTGAATAATGTGTGTGGGGACTGAGCCGTATTGTCCGCGCGGACGCGAGAGACACAAGGTCGAGAGCGATCAGTGTCGCTCTTCCAAGCTTCCAGAGAGAGAGAAAGATTGCTCACGATCGCTTGGCTTTCCGTGCACGTGCGAAGATTCTCTGGACTGGCAAAATCCCCGCGACGCGCAGTGAAGAAAAGCCATTGAAGGTGCTCGATGGCAGGCGACAAAAACCGTTCGATGATCCACTCATGATTGAATGACTATAGTTTGGTGTGTGTTTGCTCATACGCTTTGTAATTAGTCACTCTCGCCGGTCACATTAATTTTTATTCCGACACGCCAGCGCTAAATAATTCACAGCCATTTGTGAAAATATATCGTCAATTTGGGAGAATTTCACAGCTCGTGTTTCAAGCACGTTTCGGATGGAAATTAAGTTGAAGAGCAGCACTCTTAACTTACAATTTCATCCCATTTTCCGCAGCACTCGACGTCAAATTAAGCCAATATTGTGTAATTTATCTGCAAAACAAGGAAAAATCATATTAGAAAAGCGTGTGATTTTCACTAACAACACCACCAACGAAGGGTTAATGAGCAATATTCAATCTGCTGCTTCTGCATAACTCTAGGAGGTCGCCTGGCAAAATCTCTCTCGCCGAGTTCAAAGAGACAAATGGAAGGAAAAGAGATAAATCTTCTAATTTTTGACTCATTCATTTAATAAAACATTTCATGTATATTTGATTAAGAGTACATTAACCACACAAAAAGTTTTATCTCTGCCGCAGAGTTCTCCATCACACTAAAATAGTGGCGAACTCACGATCTTCTTCTTTTGTGACTTATAAATTCACAGAATAATTTAGGAAAAAAAAAGAGTTTTAAAATTCAACGAAAAATCACAACTCAAAGAATTTATCATTCTTTCTTGCTTCTTTCACTACATTTTTTTTTACTTGCTTTTTTTGCTTCTTATACGCTAAATTTACTTTACTTTACTTTAATTACTGTGTATTTGTGTGCATAGTCAAAAAGGTTATCGCATTTTTTTTTCTTATTTTCGCGCTCTGTCTTCTCAAGAACTGGAGTTACGGTTGAACTTTGGGAATTTAGCGTGCATGAATTTTCTTCATAAGTAAAAAATATAAACATAAATATTACTACAAGTAGAGCTTCTCCTCTACTTGAATGATGTGTTCACTAACTACAGTCGAAATATTTAGAGAAATCAGAGGAATATCGTTCAGGGTTTTTGTCAGCACAATGGAAGCAATATTGATCTCTAAATCTTCCCTTTTATCCTTCAAATAGCATTAGTTAGACGTCCTCATCAACTCTCCTCTCTCTCTCTCTCTGTTCTCGCCTTAATCCTAAGCTTCACATTAAATTTCATTTATTCATGCAAGAGAATTTCAGATAGATTAACTCTTCTCTTGGTCTCTCCTCTGTGTGTCTCTCTGGAGATGAAGAGGATGGAATAACATATTGGCCAATTGATCTACTTTGTCTTATCCTCTATCGCCCAATAATATTTGCATATTCTCAACTGCTTTAACTCTAAACCACCTCTCGAAATCTACTTTCTCTTAATTTTAGCATCACCCTCAGTAGAATAGTCAAATTATATAACTTCATGACTTTCCCTTCTCTCTCTCTCTCGCTCTTCCTCATTATTTTCATATTGCGAAAAATTAAATTTGTACATTATGAAATTCATCCTCAGAGGAAGTCTCACATTCCTTCCTCCAACTGTGTATGCTTTCAATGTGTGTGTGACTGTGTGTGTGTCTGCTTGTGTATTTTGTGGGGGGAAAAGAATAGATTGTGAGAAATATTTTCATGTCCGCCTAATATCAAATGAATAATACAAAAATTACGATATAGAACGAAGAAAAATATGTTGCAACATAAAATCATGTACTTAATTGACTCAACTCTCTTTGCCTTCACCCACGGTCAGCAATAAAAATCAGTCCTCGAGAGAGAGTTCCTCCTCCTCCGCGTTCAGCTCTTGCATCTCAGTTGCACGTCACGTCCTGGCAGATGGTGTTGAGCTTCTCCGTCACGTCCGACTCACTCGTGACAATGTTGATGGAACTCACTTTGGCACGCTGATACGCCGTGAGTGTGTTCTCACCCAGGAGTTTCACGCAAATATAGCCAATTATCACGGCAAAGCCCGCCGTGAGAACTCTCACGATCGGATCCACATACAGCTGAATTATCACCCACGCACTGGCGCCCGTGATGCACATCAGAGTCACGAGAATCACCGTCTTCGCCCAATGCTGCACCGTGAAGCCCTTCTCCCAGTCCAATCTGCAGGCAAACACAAACAAACACAAACAAATAAACAAACAATTCATACATTCCCTCTCTTCTATGCATGCAACAATATAACAAACTTTGCTTACTTGTTCGTCCTCTTGACTTCATACGGTGAATCACAGACTTTGCATTTGAGTAACACATCGTCTGACTTTGAGCAACTCTCCACAAGCCACTTTCGCAGACACTCATGATGAACTGAGCTCACATCTCCCGTGCACTTGCAGGGCTGAATCAGAGGCTCCGCCTTGTCAGGATCATAGCAAATCCAGCAGTCCTTCTTCAGCAGCGACGACGACGACGATTGACCCTCTTCGGTGGACTTGGCCAACGATGTGCTGGCCACTGGCTCAATCTGTCGACTCAGCAGCTTCTTGGGATTGAGAATCCACAGCTGCTCCGGCGCCATGGAGTTCCACAGGCAGCATGGGAACCACAGAGCAACTCCCACCTCCACCAGACGGAACACAATATCATGCCAATTGCGCGAGTACACAGGAACTCTGGCGAGAGAGAAGCGAAAATATTAGAATACAGATAAACTGATAACTTAATCACAAAACTTCACTCGTTTATCACGAACGCGAGACTCTATGGAACTGATTGATTTTTCCTTTGTATGGTTGTGGAAAAATGAACTCTTTCCAACTTGTCTTGACAATGAATTCTAAGGTGAACCTCATTAAATTGCCTTTGAATTTGCACAGCTTAATAATTATGGGCGTTTGTAGAACAAATTCTGAGACAAAAATAAAGGTGGGGAGAGCGCAAGTATTTACGCCGGATGCGCCTCTCCTAAATTGAACATTTACTATATCATATTGCAGAAGCCCATCCATACAAATGACACTAATTAGCAAATTTGCGCGTAATTAATCGCACAACTCATTCGTCACATGCAGTCTTCCACAACTCAAATATTGCACTGTGACGACGCTTCAAGCACTCTCTCGCAGCACAGCAGCGAGGTCAAGTACATTTCAGAGCTGCAGAAGCATTGGTGGGGGATTTGTTTGCACTTACTTCTTCTTCCAGAAGTCCCCAAGAGTCTCTGACGTGAGAAAGCCAACAATGACAATCAGCATTATGGCCTGACTCAGGAGTCCAAAGCGCGACTGATGCAGTTGCGATGCATTGACATTCTGTGTGCTGGGCAAATTTCCAAAATCATACACAAAGCCGCCGCGCACCTTGAAGAACACCTCCACGCCATAGATGAGGAAGAACACCACGACAATGAAGAGCAGTGCGGCATAGCAGCCATTGAAGATGTGCGAATATGTGTTGCGATCCGTGATGAATTGTGAGAAGAGCACCTCGGCGGCGAGCAGACTGTACGGAAGCAAATTGAACGCCATGAAGCCGAGGAAGCTCTTCGACAGGAACTGCGATTTCTCCCATCGGATGTCGCGCAGGTGGAAAATCTCCGCCCACAGGCACACCACCAGCGAGGCGCACGTCATCAGCAAAGGATAGTAGGCCGACATGAGACTGGATGCCCAAACTGGCTGAAGAATTTCCTGCAAAACCACAAGAAAATGCCGAAGAATTAGTGCCTTGGAAATTTGTCATTCACAAGTCTTTGAACTTCTTATAAACGCCTCATTTGCAATAAAGTTAAATTTCATTAGCATTGGAGGAAAGTTCTGAAAAAACTCCAAAATAATTAGCATATAGCTTCTAATCAAATCAAATCAAATGTAGAGAATTCAATCGATGTTTCCACCCGTGTTTTGCCCGAGAAATAGAGCTCGACAGGTGAAATATTGGATATGTAAATTGATTCGGGCAAAAAACACGCTAGTTTCTCTCTTTCGCCCTGCATAACATTTGCCATCTCTCAATCAGCATCTATTGTAATTGAAAATCACTTGCACGAGATTCATGCGAAGGCAGTGAAAGTGATTTTCTAATCGATTGTCTTGTGTAATAAAGCCACACTTATCATCCAATATAAGCCAATTGTGACTTATTTCTAAACAGATTGCAGTGAAGATTATAGCATATAAACACTTGCAAATGCACAAACGGCATTTTCTGCCATTTGTCACTGAATTGCGTGAAAATATTTGGAGTTTCGCAAGATAAAACGGCAGCCATGGGAAATAAAGAATCATTGCCATGAATAGAATTCTTTAGCGACAGGAAGGAACTCACTGGTGTGGTGAAATAGGCCCCGCGCAGCAGTGCGGCCACGAACACGAAGAAGTACAAGAGTTTCTGCGTGGTGAGACGGCAGGCGCGCAGAAATGAGGGCTGCTTGAGCCTCTGATACTCCGCCACGATGCAAATGAGGAGCTGGATGAGCGACACGAGAGCCACAAGGTAGAAGATCGACGAGACACCTGCAACAAGGTCACAGAGACATCAGTAAAGAAAGAAAGAAAGACACCCTTTCTCCCCCTCCCTTTCTTCTCAACTCACCTGCGTGATATGGCAAATTGAAGGTGGAACACTCATCGCCACTGTAGCGAATCTCACAGAGGCACGTGCCATTGAGGCAATCCCCCCGGCCAGAGCACGTCTGATCATCAGGAGGAGCCTCACCGAGTGCGGTTGAGGAACACCCCATGAAGTTCTGGAACCTTGATATCATACTACCAACACACCGTCACACTGGAGGCCTGCGAAAGAAAAGCAGACGCTTTAGCATCCTTATCACACTTCTGCTGGCTTCATTATCTCCCCCCGGGGCGCTTCATTTCCCTCCCCTCATGCCAAGTGGCATTTTCTGGCCAAAACCAGAACACGAGGGCGACGAAAGGTCCACCCAAAATAATATCCATAATAATTGATTAATTACTATGTTTCGTGTGTGTGTGTATTATTTTCGTCTCACTGACTTTTCTATAGCCATTTCTCGTGGAATTTAGAGAATTCCTTATTAAATATTTACAAGGCAATTAATAAAACCGACGGAGAGAGTTTATAGCTGGGCAACATCGCATCTCTTTTCCCCCCACATACACACAATTTGCGCAATATCAGAGCTATTACCGGACTTAATCTCACTTGTATCGAAAGGAGAACTCTTAGGAATATTTATGAATAACTTCACTCAGGCGACAAATGAAAACATCAGCAAAAATTCGTCAAGGAGAATGTTAAGTTCTAGGACGTTCATTCCTTTCTTGTGAGGATTTTCAAGGGCTTCCTTTCCCAAAAGAGTACTCCATTTGCCACAATGACGCTCCTCCAGCGCATTTTGCCCACTTTGTTCCACTCCGGCTGGCAAAAAGGGAGTGTGTGCTGTTGAGCTTTCTTCGACAAGCAAAAAAAAAAAGAGCCAACAAAACAATCACAATGTACTCGCGCGAGACCTTCAGTGCACGCGCACCGAGACACTCAGTGCACAAGCACTGGCGCTCAGCTGTGAGAAGAGTGAATAATTGGCATTTGCTGGAACTGGAGAATGAGTCCGCGCGAGTCCATCTAATTGATGACTCTCGCAGCATTTTGCACTCTGAACCGCGCGCGCTTTGTGTTCAGCAGAAAATTGACGGTTTTTCCGCGGTGAGGAAATATACAAATTTTTCTGGCCACGAAAATTCACGGCAAAAAAGCGCGTGTTGGACTTCTTTGCATCGCGCTGGTCATTATCAGGGACGCGTTGATACTATGGCCTGAGCATATTAATGATATAGGATGGGAGAACAATGGAATTAACGAGGAATTATTGTGACTTGTTTATAATATTGGCGAACTCTGGCAAAATATCATGCACGAGCAGCAATAACGTAATCAATTGACCCATTAACAGTCTCGAGGGTCAAACGCCTAATTTTAGGGTGTATTTTCACACACAATTTGCACCAGATTCAATGCAATCTCATTAAATGCACACAAAACCGTGGCGGTGAGGAAATTGCAGGGCGATTAGAGTTTTTGGCAGTCACAGTGCGAGCATGCTGCAGAGTTGCCAGCCTCAGTCTCCGTGTAGCAATAGGGGAAGTGGATTGTCTTTTTGCGCAATTGGCCCCAAAACACGCAACAACACTCACTTTCTTGGCCTCCCACATGAGAGAACGATAGAGTAGAACTTGGTGGACACTGGATGCACCGTCAAATCAAGTAAAATTGCGTGCAAATAGAGTGAAAATGGAATTTTTCAGCGCACTACAAAACATCACTTGCAGCCATCTTGCAATACTACTCAACACTGACCTCTCCTTGACGGCCGGTGCGCCCTCACGCGGCCATTTACCCCTCTATTCGCGAAATATTTCACGCGGCGGCGCCAGCAGCGACTACCGCACTACCACTGACAGCCAGCGGAAGAAGAAGAGGAGAAACGAGGGGTTCTGTCACTTTCGTGGAAAAAATCGAACCTGCAAAAATGGCGTCGAACTTTTGTGTGAAATTCCTTTTGCCCGCAGCACGACGCAGCGTGACCTACACACCCGTTCGCTTCTGCAAGAGTAAGTACGCCGGATGGGGCGCTAGTGTGTTGGGGCGGAGTTTGGGTGGGGTGGTGAATGGCCTGTATAACCTCGAGCGTAACCTGACGTTACGTAATGTTTTTCCTTGTAACCCGCCCGGAGATCCGGGTTTTCCCACCCTCGGGGCTCCGGGCGGGGTGTGAGGGTGTGCAGGAAGTGTGGATTGATGAGTGGTCTTGATTTTGCAGTGATGAGTGATCCTTTGGAGCACGCCACCGGTCTGGAGAAGCGTGAGTTGCTGGCGAAGGCGGCGGGCAACGAGAATCCCTTCGACATGAGGGTGATCAAGAGAAACGCCGGCACCAAGGATCAGCCCAACTTGATCCCGTCGGCCTTTGACGCCCGTCTCGTAGGATGCATATGCGAAGAGGATCAGACATTCGTGCAGTGGATGTGGGTCTATCAGGTGAGAAAAAAAACTCCCTTTTGTTGTTGATGCCCTTTCCGGAAGACTCACGTGTCTGCGTCCTTTGCAGGGAGAACCAAAGCGTTGTGAGTGTGGCCACTGGTTTAAATTAGTTGAGAAGGCTCCCGTCTAATCCAGCTTGTATTGCAAGATTTTCATCAGAAAGAGAGAGAGAAAATTAGTCACTGTCAAATAACTGAGAGAAGAGTATGTTAATGAAAATGCCGATAAATTGATTCTAGATTATATTTTACTCTCTGTCGAGTTTCTTGTACTGCGTAATTCTCACGCCGATCCTGTTGAGAATCTCCCGGGCTGAGAGCTGCTCATCCGGCGGCGCCACATTGAGAATGCGGCCGCACTCCTCGATGAAGTACTTGAGCTCGCGCTCGTCCACGTCGCGCTTGTCCTCGGCGGCCAGGAGGCACTTGTTGGTGAGCTGCGTGAGCTGAGCCTTCTCCGTGCTGAAGGCCTCGTCCAGGTCGAACAGCTCCAGCGCCGGCGACGGCACATCCGTGAAGACGGGCGGGAAAATGGCCAGCTGAAGCTGCGGCAAAGGAATCTCGAACTGCGGCTTGATGATCTTCAGAGCCTCGTACTGCACATCCAGCTTCTCATATGTGCCAATCACTTCCCTCAGGGAGTTGTTGTTGATGGAGTGAAGATGCATGTCGAAGATCTTCTTGAAATCCGCCGGGATTTCGCAATCAATCGCCTCCACCAGGCAAATCTTCGGCTGATCGGCGAGATAAATTGTGTTCGGCGTGAGAGTGTTGTCGAAGATCTGTAAAAAATGCGGTGAATGCAGTTCAATGACTCTAATGAAATTCGCGAAACATTTGTCAACGTTCTACATTTTGCAAAAATTGTGCTGTCTTATCAGCTCACACTCTCTCTAAATCCATTTGGCCCGTGATAAAAACACACTCACTTCAATGTCGTTGAATTGGAGCTGACTGAGCGGGATCTCCTCGGTCATGAGGCGGAAAAAGTAGTCCCAGATGATCATGTTCGCCTCCTCGCAGATGTATCTGTCGTGAAACATGTGACCAGAGCCAATGGCCAGGATCTTCCCGCCGCTCGGGTGGCAGAACACGCCGGCCACGGGTCTGTTGAAGGGATAGACGACTGGACCGGTGGTCAGGAGCACTACAGAGGGATTGATGACGTTGAGAGTCGCCCCGAAGGGATAGACGAACTCCGGCTTGATGATCTCGTCAATCTGATCCCAATCGGAGCCGCTCTGCTCCCGGATCAGCTTCAGCAGACTCTGAGTGCCGATTCCCTCGCCCACAATTGCCTCTTTGGGGTGAAAGAACTTGTAGTAATTCGCTCGCAAGGCCACATCCGCATTGATGCTCATTCCGTACTCCTCCAGGAGGAAATTGACGTTCGTGTTGAAGTCCGTTTCGCCGCCTTCGCCCAGCAAGATCATCACCTGACCACCGCTCTGCACGAAGGCTTTCAGGACTCTGAACTCGTCCTCGGTGAAGTTCTCCTGAGGACCGCTGGTGACGAAGAGTCGGGCATCCTTCAGGACGCTCTCCGTGATGTCGGACTTGTTGCTGCAAGATGAAACAAATCTCAATTTCACCAGTCTCTCTGTCTTGAGGCACTTCTTACACTTCAATCCTGAGGTCATTCTTGATTTTCCTGTGGACCGTCTTGTAGTTGTCGTGCAACTTGAACAGTTGATTTTTGGACTGATCAAATATCACACAACTTCTCTGATTCTCATCCATTTCCTACTGAGACGGATTCCTGGATTGTTGGCCAAATTAATTTCCACCACAATCACGAGCACAGGATGAATTTCGCAAAGTGATACAGGATTCTCCGTTTGCTTGAGTGCTAGAAAACTTTGATGTGGTTTAATTGTTGCCGTGGCAACACTTTTCCCTCTGGGACAGAATAATAGGTGTTGCTGGTGACGAAGAGGGGCTTTCGGGGAGGGAAATTCAAATCCAATTCTCGGAACAATTGTGAGAAGATCAGAGAATATCTTATAGTGATAATTGCGCTGCAGTGGGAATAAATCACGATGCTCTCTTCTAAAGACTCTTAAAATAATCTCAAAGACAATCACGGCGAATGAGAAATTGCTGCATGTCAAAATACCAGAGAAATATTATTTATTTCACTTCCGGGCATTGGGTAAAAATAATTTCCTTGGGCATCCGCGCTTGGAAGATGACGCGCGAGGTGTAAAAAATCTCCCTCGCGGGATTATTTGGAGGGGAGGCTCGCATGTGACAAGTATCGAATTTTATCAGTTCCTCCATCTTCGTAATTGTGAGTTAAACTATTGAGTCGACGTCGAGATTCCCATCGTCATTTGTCGAGCATTCACACACTATTCAGCTTGAGATTTATCTCAGGAAGAGAGCTGAGAACTTCCAGATCGACCTAATATCTGCAATGCACTTGGAGTGAGTCTGGAGAGAAAAAAAGAGAGACTTTTTTACGATCATCTCATCTTGCGGTGAGATAAGTTGCGTGCAACTCCCTTTTGGCGTGGAGATTTATTCATATCAGCTGCGAACGTGTCAAATTCAGAGTTATGCTCCCCTGTGGAAATTGTGAAAATAGACTTTTCGTCCTATCCGGACCATAAATTCAATTAGCGCTCGTCCCATGAGTGTCAATTGCCAATCAAAGTGATAGTATTTCCATGGCGTCTGCACAAATTCCATAGTAATGAATTATTGATGAAGAGGGAGTGTGAGATGAGGTCGATAAAGTGTGAAATAAAAGTGCTAAAATACGGCAAGATTGAATAGAGATCAGAAGTTCTGATGATCGCCAAGTGAGAATCATCCAGATGGAATTCCTCATGCGAAAACACACTCAATTTCTCTCCTTTTCTCGCCCTCTCTCTTCGCCTTCGTCATTTGGCGGGGGGAATATTGTTCGAATGTTGTCACACAATTTGATTAATAAATTAATTTTCACTCAGTGACAATAAATCTCACGACTGGTTTATTATCATACTCTGGAGAACATTTATATATTGGTGGTGTTTGGGAGGCCACAGGCTCGAGAAATTCCTCTTTTTGCCTGCCTTCTCGTGCCTCTGGGTGTCTCTCATTCTTCGTGGTGGCATATCGAGATAGAGTTGCAAGATAACAAATTTATATTTTGTCGAGGTGTTATACACACTTGGATGATGATAATTCTTGAAAATTAATTTTTATTCATCTTCTCAAGCTTCAGCTATGCGCTTCTCATCCATCGCGCGATGAGGCAAACATGGAGAAATTTGGAGCTAAAATTCCTTAAAACCAAAAAAAAACACAACTAGAAGTAAATTTCGTTTAAGAATTGAATCAAGAAACCTCTTCAGTGTTGAGAGTGAGAATTTCTCTCAGTGTCTGACATATGGGGGGAAAATTCTGCTCTGGTTTTCCTCCCCCGGGGAAAATGTCCAGCACTAAAGAGCGGACAAAAGACTCCGCGGGAGTGTGAAAAGACGACTGGCGAATGGAAGGGTGTGGAAGTGAGGCATTAACAGGATATTTGTGAGGTTTGTTCAGCAGGCAACCCAAAATGATCATCAAGGATTTATCCTCATGTGCCACGGAACGATTAAATACATTAATAAAGTATCGGTGAACATGCTGTACAACAAGATCTTATCTTATTCAGGTGTAAAGAATTTTGCATCTTTTTTTCTCTCTCTCTCCCCATCTTTTCTTCGCCTCGTGTGCAGATTCCAGCGTCCGCGCACGGAGGAATGTGTGATTTTTGAGCCATGAACTTTTAATTGTGTCCATAAACCAGTCGTCTTAAGGTGGGAAACATCGATGTGTGTTTGGGTGAAAGGGTCTTCTCAATTTTCTGGAGTAGATTCCATCGCGATGCGCCCATCGATTGACACGGAATTGAGAGGAGTTTTTCCATGATATGGTAATGTGACACCTCCACGTGTCCATCTTCATCATTCATTTCTCAAATTTACAATTTACAACCGTGTTTATGCCATATTTGCCTCGCATTTGGGCGCGCACGAGTGGTGGAAATGAACGGGTGTTGCTTCCAGTTTGCACAGGAGAATGTAAAAAGAGTGCAGCAAAACATATACATAAAAATGGAGCAGAAACTCAAAGAGTATCGCAATCATCGCCAACATGATAAAAAGTGATAGACAAAAGCTGATATGGACGCTGATTTTGCGGTTTCCCTCCAGTCAAACCGTTGTAACCTAAGATCTGTGTGAGAGGGATTGTTGGAAAAATCATCACAATTTGCCCCACAGACACTTTTTATTGTGTGCTGCACAAGACATTCTCGTGGTATTTTATTTGATATTAGAAAATATTGCCATTTTTTGCTGGCTTTCCTCTGAGCTTCTTTTTGCACGCAACTCCTCGCCAACCTTGTATTTGTTCTGTATCGTCGCATGTTAATTTGATACTTGACTTCAATTTTTATTCCCTTTCTGCCTCTTTAGCATTTTCTCGTGCCTTTGTCTTCTCTCTCTCTCTCTCTCTCTCTTTTCCTCAAGAACGCGGCCCAGAAGACATTGCGGACATTTCTCTAGAGGCGAACTTTCATCGTTCACTGGACGAAACATCCTTTTTGGCCTCACTCTCTCCCTCTCTCCACCCTTTTCCTCCCCCGCTTTGCCATCATCAGTAACACGAAGAGACAATTTTTGTCGCTACGGAGAAAGGGTGTCAAATTTCCCGCCCCCCCAGTTCAGCGTTGCTAGGATATATTTCTTGGAAAGTCATCTTCGTGGGGCGCGGAATAAAGGGTTGATGATCCTTATTTTTTATCCACATTTCCCGTGCTTCTGGGGAGGGTGAAGAATTTAATTGTTGTGCTGCCTTCTCTCCATTTTCATGTGAAAATCCAATTATTTTCCCCAATTTTCTCTACATCGGAATTTCTCTTTTCCCTCTTTTGTCGGTGGAAAATTGCCGGGGAGGAATTTTCTTCGGTGAAGGTTGCTGTGAGCAGATGAAAAGGGTGTTCCCAGGAAATACTCCACCCGAAAAGGAAAATTGTGCTGTTTTCTGAGAGATGTTTGAGCTTATGATTGGATGGAGATTCCTCCATAAATACCTATTCTCTGATTCACTGTGTGAATTAGAATAACAACTCTTAATTGACATTAAAATAGTGCTGCTGCAACTCGTGTGATTTTAATGAATTCTCTGTGCAACTGTGTTTTTTTTCCTGATGGACTTAATGATCATCTCGTGCAAGACAGTCACGTGCACAAATCAACGTCAAGCTCTAAACCCTTGTCTGAGCGAAAGACCACGGAATGAAGATGCTCCCAAACAAGGGTTGCCGTAGAGACACACTCTCGGCAAAGGGATGAATCCCGTGATTGTCCCGGGAAAACTCGGGAATGCACTCAAAAGCTAGAAAAATGTGACATTCCTCTTGTGCTGCTGCTGCCAGCCTGGACCATTTATAATAGTCAATGAGTTGGTATCAAGTATCAATGGTAGAGGTGTTTTTGTCGCTCATTCTTGGCATTATTGCATCGCTCCCCGGGGTGAAAAGGTTTCCAATTAACACCCCTTAGCACACGAAATTCCACATTTTTTCCATCACAAAATTTGATACAATTTTCAACATTTTTCCCCCGTCACTTTTTTGGACCTTTTCGGGGCGATAAATAAAAAAAAATTGGATTGTCAGAAAAAAATGCCACACCAAAAATTTCAACCCTTTTCTTCTGTTGCCTTTTTGGGGGTATTTTATTGGATTTTTGGGTGGTGAGAAAAATTATGGATTTGGGTGTCCTTCCACAAGAAAAAAAAGGGTTTGACGGTGAGAAAGTCAGTTAGTTTCCCGTGGAACTGGACATCGAGACAAATTCTCGGTGCAATTAATTGTGCGTCTTTTGCCTGATGGGCAAACCCTCAAAGTCGTGGCGGCGACCCTTTTCCAAGGTCTCTAAAAATAGGTTTGTCAAAAATCTGTCTCTCAAAACTTTAAGTTCAGGCGTCCCGCGGGAAAACAATGAGCCTTCTTGTGAGTCTCCGATGATTGTCGGCGGTAGTTTGCTTCCTTTCATATGTGTTTCTTGGCATAGTTTTTTTCTCCTCTCCAACATCATGTCAATCACTTGGATGACGCGAAGATGTTCCAGATCCCATTTGTTGCATCTTAAGGCCTCAGACGCGCAATGTTCAGCTCATTGGATTCCACCGCCCAGATAATTGGTTCAGAGTTGCTTGAAGACAGCGTGGAACACTATTTTTATTGATCTATAGAAATGTTGTTGGAATAAACGACTCAATTTAAATTATGCTGGTTTTTCCCCAACTCACGTGAAGGGATGTCTCTTCGTTGCACCCATCGAGGAGATGAAAATCTGGCCTGAATTATTCATCCGGATAATTTAAATTCCTCCCTGGTAATTTGTGTTGTCGGTGCTAGAGGATGATACGAGGACAAAGGCTGGATATTTGATAGGATCGCTCTACTTTTGCGATTGCTCCCAATCGATACCATTTCGACGGACTGCAGAGATGTTTTCAGATAATGAAAGCTGTTCATTTTTTTGCTCTCCATTCAAGGATTCTTGCTCTTTTCCTTCTGCTCACCTTGTTGAGTGTATTATTTTGTTGGCATTTATTCAATCCCTTGCGAAAAAAGTCCTTCTCAGGCACATTTTTAGAGATTATCCCCTAAATTTGTCAACTGAGGGATGCATTTTTTACCTTCCTGTAATTTATGGGATTATATGGTTGATTTTTTGAGAAATAAATGGGCTTCCTTGAGTATGAATTTTCCACCCTTGTCGCAGGATTGTGTCCCCTTGAGTGTTTTTTTTATTGTTCGATCGTCAAGTTTGTGAGCGAGATAATTTTATGGCTTCCGTGTACCTCAATGCTGATGGGCAAAAAGACACCAATTTCCTGTTGAGGAATGGCTTGCATAGAGTTTCATTATTGCCGCCCTCCGTGGCATCTCTTGTGGGGCTTCGGCGATGCACCGGAGGAAAGGGAAAACTTGTATCGAATCAATTTTCAGGTGATCAAACTCTGAAACACTTCAAGACCGCGACATCTGGCCAAGAGGGCTTGTCTCTCGTTTTTTTGCCGGTCTGGCCCATGAGCGCGGAATGATGATTGAGAGTGACGGTGAAGTCAATCAAGTGTTATTTATTAATTGAGTGATTCGCGAAGGAGGAGATAAAAAAGTGCTGAAGACGACTTTGAGAAGTTTGCACGGGCCAAAAGATGTCGCAAATCATTTCACGGACGTGGCTCAGAAGCACCAGACGATGTCCACGAAGAAATAGAGATGAAAACTTCCCTCCCTTGTCTCTCCCAGTTCCGACAATTTCTTGACTTTTCCCAGGTCGAGGGTGAAATAATTTCATTTGACTCAATAGGATGTGTTTTAGTGTGTTTTTCCACCCACCCAGAAGCGACAGGAGTTGTGTAAAACAAGCCACAAAATAGAGGGTGTAAAATTAATTCAATCATATCATATCTGAGTGGTTTTATCTCTATTGCCGCCGAGGGTGGATCCAAGAGCGAGGAAAAGTGACGAGGGTGTGGATAAAATGCCGGCTTATGTGGGTGTAAAACTGCTAAAAACAATATTTCAACCGCTGACTAATATGAATTGTGACTTGTCTGCTCGGGAAAATTGACACTTTCCGCCCCACGCATGATGAGGTCCTCAGGGAGGGAATTAGTCCTGGAAAAGTCGCGAATGACGGTGTCAATTTCCACGAGACAAATCTTTTGTGCTAGTTTCAAACTCCTGCTGGAATTTTATTAAATCTTCTCGACGCGCTCTTGAAAATGCTCATTTAGAACTTTTCACCCCTTCGCCAGGGCAAAACTGCCACTCAACTCAATTTTCACTTCATTAAGGGAGTGAAAAACATATGTCAAGCCATTGTTGTCCTCCCTCTCTGGTGAATCCCTCGAAATAGTTGTTCGATTTTCGGGGGCCAGAGAGAGGGAAAATTGGCCGACAAAAGGGGTGTTTCACCCTCTCACGCGTTGCCATGGATCGGCGGAAGGTCCTATTAATTTGCGGAGGAAATGTTGTTTTTCCAAACCCGCTCACGCAATGCGTGTAATTTAATTGGAAATGATGGGGAAAATCACTGGTGAATTATCGAATTAAGCAGATTCTTCACTCATGAAATCACGTCTGAGCGCCAGAAAATCACGGTGAAAGAGAGAATTTGTGGAAATATTTAACCTCGATGGAATATTATCGGATTAACCAGGAGATTTGTGTCCTTTATTGTTCCACAACATGGTCTCTGCTTCGCCCAGATATGGGATGTGAAATCATGGTGGAAGAAGTGAAGAAGACTGATGTACACCGAGATTTTTAGGAAATCTTTCCTGCAGTTTGACAGGCTAACAATCCTAGCTGAAATTCTCCTTTTCCTTCTTCAAAATTGAGGTGAGATGAGAGTCTGAAAAGTACACTGGTTGCACGCAATTGGCCTCCCTTGGGCGAAACCGCAATGATCCTCTGGCTCTCGCTGTGTGTGTTGATCCTCACAGCTAGATCCTGGCTCCTGAAAAAATCCCTGCTGACTGCGGGCATCCCGTGAGGAACAATAGGGCTACTGAATTGAAAACAAACGAGCATTTCACGGTCTTTTATACCACTCTCCATCCTCTTGCTCACTTCTTTCCCGGTCCGCACGTCTCGGTAATCTCATGTTGATGGAGATTCTTCCAGGACAGTGGAAGATTGCGGCGAAGAGACGGGGGAATAATTGAGGTTTATTTCTTTCAATTCTCCCAGTTAGTACGCGTCACCGCATTGATTGACACGGGGTCAGAACCTCTTCGGCAGCTCCTTCGAGAGGGCCTTCAGCTGGGGAGCCTCAAATGGGATTTAATTGAAAGCGAACACACACGGATTGCTCTCATTTTTTTCATCCCAGGTTGTGTGTGCGCGCTCTTGAGAGACGTCAAGGAGAGAAGTTTGACGATTTTGTAAATGATTTCATCAAACAGTGCCTAGATAATGATCTCGGGAACATGGGAGATCTTAGAGAGATGAGGAAGAGACTGCGATGACAGGAATATTTCATCGAAATCCGATGTGATTTTTCTCCACTCTCCGGGGTGTTGGATTGATTTTGTATATCGATGGCAAGGTGTCTCTGGCAGAATCCCTCCGCGATTGTGCAAATCCCGCACCCCTGACGCATCCTGGGACACTTAACAGCTCGATGATGGCATTGGGAAGGGGAGACAAGGGCGAGAGAGAGAAGAGGCTCATAATGGTGTGTGTGTTATAGCAACAGCCTCCATTTGTAACCTGATCCAACAAAGGGGATGTTTTTGTGTGCTGAGCTTTTTGCAAGGAATTTTTATTCTCTTTCCTCCCTCATCGCGCCATCGACCCACACAATCGCTCATCCTGGGCGAATCTTCCGCAACTTATTCCCCATCGTCCAATGTTTACTCTTGTCTTCATCTCTGATGATGATTTAATGAAAAGTAGACAAGACGGTCCGACGACGAGACTTCGTGGCTTTTCCACAGTGTCCGCGTATTGATCTTCTCCAAAGCGTGAAAAATTGTGTGCTAGAGTGAAAGGAAAAGCCATTAATCTGTATTGGGTATTTGGGTGATATCCAAATGTAGCACTTTCGCTCGGAATAAATGCATTCTAGGCAGAAATCTGGGAGAACCTTTCGAAAGAAAGACATTTGTAACATTTTCAGCGATGCTCATCGACGTCATTGAGTGAATTTTGGACTATTTAAATAGAGGCAAAATATTGATTTTCACTCTCCGTGGGCCCAGCCCTCGAGAAAGGGCCCAGCAGAGCGGCAGGAAAAAGCCAAACAAGACCACTTCTCGTGAAACTCAATGTTTTTTCTCCGTTCTCATGTTTTCATAGGTGTATTTGTATTTCAAAGCCATATGGTTCATTGAATGAATTGTTGTTGCTGTTGTTAATACTTTCTCCAAATGACTTTGGCCACTCGACTCCTCCGCTGACTCTTTTGCCGATTTTTTTTGTTGCCTGTGCGCGCATTTCCAACGAAATAATTCATATCTCCGACTCTGGGCACAATTGAGTGGGTATTGAATTTGCCGATGTGGGAATGGGAAAAGTTAATTTTGGGGGCGAAATTGCCAGGGAGGTAAATTCAATTTTCCCGGGTGCCATGAAGAAATGCTTTGGGTGTTGAAAAGCTCGAAACATTCGGAAGAGGCGTTCACCAGAAACAGAGACGCCTCTTCCACAAGCGACCAGAGGCAGTTATATACAGTCGGCGCGTGAGTCAGAGTGAGACAACTAGGCGTTGTCAGCACACTCTCAGATGCTCGCAGGCCAAATTCATGGATTGTAGAGAGATTCAGGAGGGTGAAAAAGGCACAATGGAAGGGCAAAGAGGAATTTTCAGTGGATGGAAAATGGAGAAATTCTGCTGTGAAAGTAGAAATTTAGATGAATTTCCAAATTGAGAAATTTTTCCAATGAGATGCAGTCGCTGCAATTACTCCATCACAACTTCACGGCGACGTTTCTGTGACTCTGCAAATTGTGTGTAATTTCGGTAATTTCACTCCCACGAACGTAATTTATCGATTAAAGAACGGGCGTGGAATGAATTTATGTAAATTCAATGACATCCGAGAGATTTCCCATGCAGATGTGCGACCTAAAAGGTGTCGGGGAGGAAATTGATGGGGAGAAAGGGTCCGTGGAAATGAGATAAGGAAAATTATTGACAAAGCATTGGAAGAGTGACATTGTTGGGTGATGTGAATCCATCAAGAGTGTTTAGTATTGGGTGAATTCTTGCTCGCTGGCAGCCAACAACATCCAGAAATTAATTCAAGAGAGTGTGTAACATGGTATCACGTATCCCGTGGCAAAGAAACAAGATAACGAATCTAAGAGACGATTAATCTACCTATAATTTTGGTCTATTGATCGTTTTTCACCTGTGAATTTACGACACGAGACACTATCGGACATAAAATTTCGAATTATACCCGGATAAATGGTCCAGAAACAAAATGGTCAGCTGGGTGGCATTGCCATTTGGTCATTTATCTCCGTGGAAAATGTCTTTTCCCGCGCCCATAGAAAAATCTACGGGCATTTCTCTTCGTCGTGTGATAGGCAATTTTTCATATTTTCATATTATATCGCCATGAGAGCATTTCGTGGGGCGTTTATTTATCAAAAATTGGACCGCTCTGGTGATTAGTGTGATAAAATTCGCGCCAAAACACTCGATAGAGTGGCGTGGATAAACAGAAAATTCTCCATAACATTCATCGAACACTCATTCAGGCAATTTTTTTACATGAGTTGTACTCTGTGCTTGTCTCACATAAATAAATCGCCTTGGAACATGCGAGGAGGAGAAAACATTATACGGAAAAATTGCTGATGATCGAACGCGTGATTTGTTATAGAGTAGGCAAAAATATACGGCAAATCAGCATTATTTATGTCTCTCCAATCAAAATATATACTATTTTTTTCATTGTGGCAAAAACAGAATTGAATCACTTATTTAACCATGAAATTTTTATACACGCTTTCTCTAAAATGCGCCTTAATTCTATTTTGCGTGCATCATCAACAATAATTTTCATTGACAATTTCCACCGAAAATTTGATCTCTCTGCGCTTTTCGAGGGCAAAACAGTCAAATGAATAGTCGCAAAATAGTTCATATATTTGCGACGCTAATTGCTCCCAATTAAAATGAGTGCATCATGTGAAAATGGCTTCAATTTCACAGTATTTTGTGTCAATGAAATTTCACGTTGAAAAAAAAAACTGTAGCGAACTTGATGGTCAATTTGCAGTTATTTGTAAATTAGCGACAGTGACGATAAGAATTCCTCTTGCAGAGGAGCAATTTTGCTGTGCCGTCAAAACAATCTCGGTGATCTGGAGGAAGAAGTTGACGAATTTCTGAGAATTTCCCTTGAATTTGTAAATATTTGTAATCGCTGGAGTGTATTCTGTCGAGATTGGCACTTTCCATCCAGCCTCACTCTCTCTCCGGAGGGTATTTTAGTCCGTGGAATGCAATTTTGCAAATGCTTCTTGCAATCCTCGGCAGAAATTTCCTTTCCACTGAATTCCTCCAGCCAAGCCAATCCGTCGGTTTGATAATTATGCACGTTTTGCTGTTTTGCCAACGAATCACTCCGCATGGAAGAGTGATAAAATTCTCAGCCACGATAGCAGAAATTATGCCATGAGAGCTGCTGGCTTCTGGCGTGATAAACTCATATAAAGAGTGTAATTTGCAGAGTTGAAAAAATCCTAGTGGTATTTTATACAGAAGCACAAATGCTAAATTTATGCAAGAATACATCGTTGTAAATTAATCTGGGGAGGAAAGGTAAATTGTCACATTCGTGTCTTTGCGGTTCATTTCTTCGATTCAATGACTGCAGTTTGGTAATCAATAAATGGAAGCTCAGAAATGCCAATGTTTGTTTATGAAATGGTAAAACATTTAGAGACTTTGTGATTGCAATTTATGTCCAGTCATTTTATTATTGGTCTCTAAACCCAAACAATCAATTATGTGATAAGAAGTTCATGTTTGATTTTGAACTTTGTGATTTTGTATCCTGCAAATTATTATTATTGCTTGTGTCGATTTTTGGCTTAAGAGGCCGTAATGGAAAATCCTCACTTGAGGGATGAAGCCATGAAAATGTCTAATGTTTCCAACTTATCTTACTGTGCCATCAGCTCGAGTTCAGCTCTTATCTCGGCGTCCATCGCTCGGCTTCTTCCTGCTGACCAGTAGCCGAAAGGATCGCAGGATGCGCCTTGTGCCGCAGGGCGCTGGAAAAGTGGCCAGCAGAGCCAGCGTGAGACCATGGGAGGGAGCGAGAGGGCGAAAAGAGCAGTCGAATTGCTGGGAGCGAAGATGCAGCAGCTCAGCGTGAATTGTGTGCACTCCCGAAGCGCTTCTGAGGGTGCCACAGAGTTGCAGATCGCGAGGCCTCGAGAGGGAGATGGTCAGAGGGTGCGAGAGTGCGATGGGCTGTGTCGAGGCGAGATCTGTCCCTGTTCCACCGCTGAACTGGAGCATGGCGGAGTGCTGGCGAGTGAGTGCGATGGCTTGCGAGGTAGGAGGAATCCGACGAGCGAGATGGCCTGCCCTGGGGAGAAAGACAAACAAGTCGGAGCTGAATTCGAGACAGAATCACGAAATCCGGTTGGATTCTCAGTTTCTTGGAGGCGCTTCGCGAAAGAGGAAGTGAGTTTGAAATTTCACGCGCGGACAAGGTGCACAATTTTGCAGAAGTTGAGAGTCACAACTTGGAGTGAAAGGAGGAAGAGTGGACTTGAGATTGTGGTGTTTGTGAAGCGCAGGACATTAAGGGCGGTTTTTCCCTCGCAGTGCTGCTGTCGGAAAATTCACAAGAACAATAAAAGAAAAAGAAAACAGTATTTTCGCGAGAGACTCGTAAAGTAGTAAAATGTAGAAGAGAGTATTGAGTGTAAGTGGATAGGAAATGAATTTGTGTGATTTTCCATTATCACAAGAATAGCTATAAAAATCATTCTTAGATGGTCTTTTTTCTGTGTGTTTGTGTGTTATTTTTTTTGACCACCTAGTTTGCATTTGATGAGATACAATCCGAAGATACACTTCCCGAGAGTTGTATAGTAGAATTGCTAAAGCGCTGCTGTGAAGAAGTTGTCGGTCAATTGCTGACAAATTGCCCGAAGAGGAGAGTTGCAATAAATTGTGATCTCTGGATGAGGGCAGAGCTCACAATCCAAATGGGACAGTAACGAAATATTCTCCATTCAACCTCCCAATACACATGAAATGGTGACATTAATGCCATGTAGTTATATATCAGCCTCCCGCTGTGGACTGATTGATAAAATGATAGAGCCAAAGGTAAAGATGAGTGTGTCTTTCTTTTCTTTTCCCCAGAGAACAAAATGAGAAAGAAAAATCAATGCCCAGAGAGAGAGAATCACTTAATAATACTAAAATTATATGCACGATGCCCATAAAATTGGACTTTAATGGTCAGAATTGCTTCTATTTCTCTTCCACTGCGGACCACGGGCAGCCAAGGGTTAAGACCACAGTGAAATGTGGATGAAAATTTGTCGAAAGAGCAGATAAAAATTTGTCTCCCAGTGCCATCAAGTGTCTCTTCGTCACACATTTTTTAATCGTTGTAATTTATTTAAGAATGTCAACTGTATTTTTGTCTTTACCTTCTCGCGCCCCAAACGCGATTTAATGAAGGCAGCGAGAGCTGGACAGAGAGGAGAGACAAAAAGAACATAATGTCCCATTCACCAATATAGTAAAAAACAGAAAAATCTCTTTTATTTCTGTATTAATTCTCTGTTTCATCTCCATACAGCGTTGTCGATTTGTTGGGTGGTTTTTATTGTATTTGGTGCGGGACCTGTTCTTTTCACTCTGTATAAAAATAAATTTTAATCTTATCAAGATTCTCACGGGTGAAGTTAAACATAAATAACGCTCATAAATATCACATTCTCTCCTAACCGGGGATAGATTGTTGTGGCCAAATGATTATGTGCTTTCGGAAAAGGTACACAAAATGCGTGCGCGCTTTTCAGTCAAATTCTGTATATTTTAAATTTTCGCCCTATAATGACAATTTTTTCTCGCAGTGAACGAAATTCCCGTCCTTTTTCCCAATCGCGCTGATGGAGGGAAAAAAAACGGTTTATGAAGACGATGAAATCATCTCTTGTCTCTCCTTTTTTCCCTCTCCTTTCTTTGCTATTTTATTAGACACTTTATTTGCCTCCATGGCAGTAATTTTTGCTTCCCACCCGCTCGGAGTGAGAGAGACTCACGAAAAAACCGTCGGCAGTTGAGGAAATATTTCGCCTTCAAGAGCTCATAAAATGAATTTGATTAGTCCTAAATAAACTCCACTTTGGGAGAAGCCAATGAGCATTTACTCGGACTCGAGCATCTCTCTAAATGATGCCTTTTCACCCGCCAAAATGGCATTTGGAGACTTTCCCCAAACATTTCGGCACTTATTTGCTCCGCTCGTAGCCCAAATAGAGACACATCTGCTTTCGATAAAGAGTCATTCTTTGATTTCGTGGAAGTGAGAAGAGATCCTGCAATTGAGAGCATCTCAAGTGATCCACTTACCCTCAAATTAACCACAATTTCCTGCACTTGATCCTTATAATTAACGCTCATCCCCTCGCATGATGGGGTGGTTCACTCAAGAGTTTGCTGTGTGTGAGGATTTCTTTAAGAAAACTCCTAATATAACTCAAACATTGATGTAAACATTTATCTCAACATTCTCCGCAGTGAATCACCCTTGTTGTTGATCCTTTTCTTATCTCTCTGGCACTCGGCAAAGTGCTAAAAGTTGCACTTTTTGCCTCGACTTTGTGGAGTGTGGCGTTGAAGGATTTACAGTCTGGAATGATGCCTGTTCCATTGAGGGTTTAACGCATTCTGTGCTTATTTTTTTTTCTCATCCCCTCATAAAAAGGATTCTGCGTAATTTTGGTAGTTCCATTTTTTCAAATAAATATTTAGTGTGATTGTTTGTTTGCAAGGGAATCCCAAGTATAAATGGAAAAAAAGACAGACGTTAAACCCCCCATGGATTAACTTGAATTAGAAGTGTCCCAGAAAAGGGACACTCAAGAAAAACCTCCTCTTGCCTGCTAAGTTCTCTTTCAGTGACTCTCCACTGTTTCTCCTATAAATTACAGGTTAAGAGATCAAGAGTCGATGATAGTGACCCTAATGATCGGAATAGGTAATTATTTTCAATCAACGCATTTTCTCACTGGTGGTCCATCAATTTGTCTCCAACGCGTGCTTGTGATTCTCGGGGTTTCAGAAGCAGAGACAGGGAAAGGATTAAGGAAGCGATTGAGTGCTTTCTGGCTGTGCTGCAAGTGAAGAAAAATCCCGCCCAAATCCCCTCCTTGGGAGGCGAAACACTAAACAGAAGCTATTTGAGGGGCTCATTTAATGTCTTATCTCAATTTCTTTATTTATTTTTTTCCCTCCTTAAATTCTTTCACTGATGATGTGTTTTCCTACCCACTTTGATGTGGTGCCCAATTCTCATCGCATCGCCCGAGATTTGCTGCTGATTCCGCTCATTCGCCATGATTATTTTCCTTCTCTCCTCGCCTGAAAATCTCCAAATATTGGTCTGCAAATGCGGGATTAGGCGCGCGAAGGCTAGGAAAGATTTGTACAGATACAAAAAAAAAACACACCCGCAGCCGATTTCTCGCCCTGAAATGCGTTGTTTGGACGCAGTTTTTATTGCGGGATATTAAAAAAGAGTTCTCCTTCGGCCGAGCCCGAACTCAAGAGTCGTACGGAGAGATTTTTCTAAATAATCGACAAATGGATAATTACCGGATCTCGTTTTTACGAGGGCCCAAAAAGAGATGCTCTGCGCGCATATCTTTCGGAAAATGATGTAACGGCCGAAAAAGAAGTGGATGGAAACATTTGGTACCAAAAGGCCAAAAAAAAAGAGCACATCGCCTTCTTAACAGCCGTATCGCAATTGCGCTGCGCGTCTCATTCACTTAACATGGTCAATGAGTTGAGTGAAACAAGAAATGAATTAATTATGGTGTGTAAATCTCGATGATATTTTGTAAATCATTAGATGGAGTGCAAATAAATTTGGACAGATGCCAAACTTATGAAATTCAATGCTCTGTGAAGAGACAGATGGATTCGAGGGGATCCCTGGGATCGTGAGTGTGTCAATTAGTCTACCTCACATCATTATTCTCCCGACTATTAATAATTGCCATTGTGCGAGATTGTCTCATAAATAATTCGTGGACGTGTTACTTTTTTTCATCCGCATCTTTGACAGGCCATCGAGAGGGAAAATACACGCAGTGTTTTTACCATTCTTCCATCTGTAGTGGATTTCTCGGAATTCCTCCGGGGATCGGCAAAGAGATGCCTTTTTTCTGCTGCCAGGGACGCTTTTCTAACGTCTAATTTAAATATTTTCACGCCAAATTATCCGAGGTCCTGGAAATCCGAGAGAGGAATTATCGTAAATTGTCCCCTTTGTGCATTGTCTAATTAATAATGCAAAGGTCACATGCGATAATTGGTTTTTGCTATTGGAAATGAGATCATTTTTGCGCATATCGCCCAAAATTTGTTCCCACATTTGTCTTGATGCCAAAATCACCCTCACAAGGAGAGCTTCCGAGAGGCGAAATACGCACAAGTCACTTTGAAATAATTACATCTTGTTCAACATTCATTGCCTCTGAAGCTGCTGAATTTTTTTCCGTTCTGCTTATTGCGTTTCAAAATTAATTATGACTCTCAGATGTGTTGAAAGAGAACCACTCGCACTGTGACGAGCTGTAAAAAAGCGTGATTCTCGCCCCTCGACAGCGCGCGGGCATCCTTGAGGTGATTCAGAGAGTGGCTGATGGGCGCTATTGTGAGTCTCCCGGGGAATTGATCTGTCACGGAGCTGATCGATCATCCGATATCACATCTCTGTCGCGAGATAATCTCCCAAGAGCACAGTCTCTGGGGCTGCGCGTGCTGCTTCGCCAATCCTTTGGCGCGCACTTTTTTCCCCGAGCACGCTTCATTTGAATAATCCCAGAAAAATTGTCTCGCAGCCCCATAGAAGATGTGCAGAAAAAAGGCAGGAGTCGATGAGTGTGACCCACATGTGTTGAACAAATGCTCCGCTCTGACTTGGAAATGCCTCAGCCTCATCGGTGGACACTCCTCGAGATCCTTCCTAAATCATCGGGTGCGTTTTTTGTCCGTGTGTGTGTGTTTGCCTGCCTTTTTTGAGGTCACATCTTTTGCCTGCAAGTTCAGGCACCGTGACACTTTTCTAATCCCTGTGGATTTACCAAATAAACTGCGCCTCTCTGCGCGTCTCCATCTCGTGAGGCTGTAATTATAATATTGTAAACGAGTCAATCGTGATGAGTCTGACACTTTTCGGTCTCACTATTCATGTGAAGAATTTCCCGCTCAGCTGGAGCATGATCTCGAGAGGAGTGTGAGATGTCTTGGATCTGCTGAGAATGGCGTGAGACAGAGAAATGTTCTATATCTATACATTCCTCTGCGCTTAGAATTCTGCCACTGTCCTTCTTGTTTGCAAATTGATCATTGCCAGAAATCCTTGCCCTTTTCCTCCCACGAGAGCGCTCAGAAGAAATTCCCCGAGGAATGTCAGAATTCGTGGAATGCCGCGGAGAGAAGTGGGCAGGAGGGCAAGAGAATGATGGCTTGTTAAGCCCCGAGTGTCTCTGCGGTATCAAATTCCCTTCCCGGCTGGTGAGGAGGCTTGAAAAATTGATGGGACCACCTGTTGGAGGACGCGAGCTCTCTCGGGCACACGTGAGATGTAATCCGTGGCTCTCTTGCAGAATCTACACGCCCAATAGTCAGTTGTGCAATTCAGGCTCGCTGGCCGCGACCACGACGCCGGCCGGCGGCAATCTGGTGAGCCACCCCTTCAGCCAGGCGCCGCTGCTTCCGCTGGCGGGCTCGAGTCGATGCAGCGCCCCATCAGGCGGGCCCATCCTGCGCCAGACCACGAACGCCACCAGCTCAGGACTCCTGCAGGCGTCGCCCGGCTGCGATGGAGGCGCCGGCGTGAATCTCTCACCCGCACTGCTCGGCATCGGCTCCTCAGTGACCGCCGGAGGCTCCATTCAGGTGAGTCCGTGCGAAAATCCCCCAATTCGTGTGTGCAATGTATGCTTCCCCGCCAGGAGAGCTCCTCCATTGGGATGTCGCACTGGCTGTCGGAAGGAGCAGTGAAGTCTGAAGCTCGCAGTCCGGGCATCGATTCTGCACCGACAGCCACTCTGGCCAGCGGCTCGAGCCACCTGGACGCGTCGCTCTTCTGTCCCGCCGGCTCCGCGTCCACTCTGGACGCCCTGCAGAACAGCACCAACTCGTACGAGCACAAGCAGGACAGCTACTACAATTACTACAACAGCATGCCGCAGTACGCGTCGTCCTTCTACTCCTACGGCACGCCCTACGCCGCCAGGACACCCACGAAGATACCCTCGCCCAACGCCTACCTCACCTCCAGCTACGCCTCGGCCACGTCCAACAACAACTCCTCGCAGATCTACGGGTCCTACGGCTACAACAACTTCTCGCAGTTCCCCACCGCGCAGCAGGACTACAGCAGTTGCTACTACAACGAGCAGTACGGCGGCTACTACAACGCCGCCGCCGCGGCGAGCTACTCGCCCTACGTCAGCTCTCCCGGCTCCAGCGGCAGCCAGGGATTCCACACCGCGGTCGGGCTCTCTGAGAGTCCCTCCGACGAGACTCCCGGCACCCCGACCCTCATGACGGCCCACTCCCCGACCTCGCCCCTGTCCGTGTCGCCCAGCATCGGCGCTAAGGCGGCAGGGGCGAAGGTGGGCAGAGCCCGAGGCCGCCGGCACGCTCATCCCAGTCCCACCAGAAGTTCTGTGTCCGAGAGCGGCGGCCAGGAAAACGCGAAGACGCCCGAGCGGGTGTTTGTGTGGGATCTGGACGAGACCATCATCATCTTCCATTCCCTGCTCACCGGCACGTACGCGAATCGCTACAGCAAGGAGCCCAATCACATTGTGCAGCTGGGCTTCCGCATGGAGGAGATGATCTTCAACATGGCGGACACGCACTTCTTCTTCAACGACATCGAGGAGTGCGATCAGGTGCACATTGACGATGTGTCGGCGGACGACAATGGCCAGGATCTGTCCACGTACAATTTCTCAACGGATGGCTTCCATCCGGCAACGCAACCGGGTGAGTTTGTCGCTCCGGTTGCATGGTAGTTGCGTGCAACCAACCAGACTAACTCTGACTCTGATTCCAGGAGCTCCGAGCATTTGTCTGCCAACTGGAGTCCGTGGCGGCGTGGAGTGGATGCGGAAGCTCGCCTTCCGGTACCGGAAAATCAAGGAGATCTACAATTCGTACAAGAACAAGTGAGAATCCTGAATTTGCCGCTGATTTTCCCAATATATCATTTGTGTTCTTGTGTCTTTGGCAGTGTGGGAGGATTGCTAGGACCTCAGAAGAGGGAGCAGTGGCTGGAGATCCGGAAGGATATCGAAATAGCTACGGATAACTGGCCAACGCTGGCCTTCAAGTGTCTCAATATGATCGCACAACGAGAGAATTGCGTGAATGTCCTCGTGACAACGACTCAACTGGTTCCAGCTCTGGCCAAGGTTCTGCTCTTCGGCCTAGGACAGATTTTCCCAATTGAGAACATCTACAGTGCCACGAAAATTGGTAAAACACCTCCGGGGGAGCATTTGTGTCTTCAGGAGTGAATTTATTCTGTATTTTTACAGGCAAGGAGTCTTGCTTCGAGCGCATTGTGACCAGGTTCGGACGCAAGAGCACTTACGTGGTTGTGGGCGATGGTCAGGATGAGGAAGTGGCGGCCAAGAATCTCAACTTCCCCTTCTGGAGAATTTCATCTCACAGTGATATCAAGAATCTGCACTCTGCCCTCGACATGGGCTACTTATGAAAGTTTTCCCGGCGCCACTTCTGGATCCTGTAGAGAGGCTCCCACAGCTTCCATTCTCTGCGTTTGCTGCACACACCAGTGATTTTCTCCCCTGGAGCACCGTTTCCACACTTGGATTGCTTTGAGAGTGAAAAGGGGGCGCTTCTGGATGGCAGAGGGCCCCAAAATGCAACAATTTAACTGTATTATTTGAAATTCCCTGAACTTTTCTTAGTCAATTTAGCGTGAGTTTTATTTAGGTATTCTTGTGTTCATAAGAATGGATTACTGTAGGAAGAAAAGGATCAAAATACTGTAAATAAAGTAATGGAACAATTCTGCATATGATTTTTTTTTTATCTCTTCTGATGAAATTGTAATAAATATGTAGGAAAATCATGTTAAACTACGCATTTCTATACGCGCGTAACAAATAGTCACCTTCGGGTGGTGAATATTGTTCATATGAATGGTGAATAGCCTTGACAGTCGGCCATTTGTTTTTCATTCCCCGTGTGTAGAAAAATCGTGAGTATTTTGTCCCGATTCTCTCTTTTTCTCCCATTTATTCACTGTAAATATACCTGCAAACTATTCCTTAGTAGTTTGTCCCTCAAATAAGTGTAAGAAGTTTTGGAGAAAACTGCTATCTTGCACAGAAATCCAGAATACTATATAGAACTTCCTCATCCACTATTTTGCTAATTTTCCCTTTAAATATTGATAAAAGATACCAATTTTCCCCATTCAAAGCTTATCTAAAGTGCCTTAATGCTTTTCCATTTGGTAATCACATTCTGCATGGTGGTTTTCCTCGGTTTTCCACACCTGAAACGCCTCCTTATCGTGGTTATGTAAGAGGGCATCTGACAGCTTAATCCGGAACACTTTTGTTTCTCTTGCAGGACGGCTAGAGATGATGTCCAATCAGTTCTTGAGCGTGGCGCGCAATGCCGTGCTGAGGCAGATGGTGCGCCACTCGTCCAGGGATCACAGCAACTTCTCCAAGATCGGAAAGCGCGAGGTCGTGGGCTACGGCCGGAGCGGCGAGCCAGTGTACTATGATTGCGTGGAGTACCCAATGCCCGCGATCCGCTGGCAGGAGCCGACACCGCAGCTCCTGGCGCTGCGCGAGAAGGAGAAGGGCGACTGGAAGAAGCTGAGCATCGACGAGAAGAAAGCTCTCTACAGGGCTTCTTTCTGCCAGACCTTCGCCGAGTTCAAGCACCCGACGGGCGAGTGGAAGGGCTGCATTGGCTGGACGCTGGTCTTCACTTCCATTGCCATCGTCTTCTCCCTGTGGATGAACGCCTACGGTAAGTAGTTGGTCAGTCCGCTGGAAGTGGAGAAAGGTTTTCATGATTGTGCGATTCTTTGCAGTGTACGACGAGTTGCCGGAGAGCTTCAGCGAGGAGAGCCGCAAGGCGCAGCTGAAGAGGATGCTGGACCTTGAGGTGAATCCCATCCACGGTCTGTCGTCGAAGTGGGACTACGAGAACAAGAGGTGGAAGTAAACCAGCCGGCATTAGTCAAAGAATTTGTCTTTCACGCCAATATTTAAGTGAAACTTGCGATAAATTGTGCGTGGCGAATCTCTGGGGAGCTTCGTCTCTCCAGAGGACGCCACACCTCAGCTGTAGTCGTCGGAAATGAGAAAATAAATGTGAATTGAAAAATAAATGTTATTCTAGTGAGGATTCTCGGAATTTTAAGAATTTCTAGGATGGCAAATGTGATGAACGCTAAAGAATATTTAAAGTGTCTCAATTCTCGCTCTTTCTGTTCTCAAAAATTTATAGTTTTTTCAAAATTGCGACGACTAAGATCAGAAAATGCGGAAAATGCACGATATGAATACTGTTGGATCCGCAGAATGGAAGTGTAGAACTGCAGACGTTTCATACGACTTTTCTGAATCGTCAAAACTCAGTTGGCGGGTTTGGCGGCGACGAGAATTCGCCGCTTTTGTGCGATTTCGCTTCCCCTACTTTTCGCCTTCAAGCCAAAGCTGAAGTTGTCAGGTGAATTACAAGCTCAATTTTCCCCATTCACGAGTGCTCCCAAGCCGAGATGTTTGAGGAGAGACTGGTGCGAGCGATCAGGATGCGGAAGTGTCTGTATGAGAAGACAAACAGCGACTACAACAACTGCAAGCTGAAGGAGAACGCCTGGGACGAGGTGTCAGAGAGTCTCGGGATTCCGCTCAACAAATGCAAGGCTCGCTGGAAGAGTCTGCGGGAGCGCTACGTGCGGGAGGTGAAGAGGAACAGGCGGCTGCGGTGTCCGGAGGACACCAGCTCGTGGCACTTGTTCCCCGAGATGACCTTCCTGAAGGACTTCATATGTCCGCGGACGCGAGACAATCCGTCCTTCAGCCTCGTCGCGAGGCACAATGGAGCACTGGCGCTTGGCCCTCTGCTCCAGCGGAGACGCACAATACCGGAGGAGCGACGGGATGCGCAGTATTTAAGCAATCTGATGGAGATCATGAGCGACTCCTCGGGCGTCGACGAGCAAGAGACTTCTCAGAACTCCCCCGTGCAAACTCCCAACATCACTGCCGCCTTCATGAAGCCCCGCGGGCTGGATGAAGTGCCAACCAGGACGAATGGCGAGGACTTATCCAGCTCACAACCTCGCGAGGCTGCTCAGCAAATTCCACCGCACGAGATCAACATTCAACCCGCCCCAATTCATCCAGCCAACGCGGGATTCTTCCTGATGCTGGACAAGATGCTCAAGAGACTCCCGCCGGAGGATGTGGTGGATTTTCAGATGGACATCCTGAATTTTGTGCACCAAAAGGCAACTGAACAGAGGCCAAAAAGGGAGATAATTTATGCTTCCGACGAGTAATCAACATATTTTGATAGAGCGCTAAGCGATTTCTTATCATTTAAGACAGATTGTGCCATTTTTGTGCTTTCCTTTTGCAATATCATCACGAAATAAACTATTCTCGGTAAAATCCTGATGCTTTGTGTGGGAAGGATTCGCTGGTGTGTTATTATGATCTTTCGATCTTCAGAAAAATACCGATGATCGAATGTTGGTTTTTGTTTTCAGCACTTGCCATGAAGCATATTTGGATGAATCCTTTCGCAATGATCATTCTCAAGGCGACTAATTTTATAAACAGCAGAACATTGAAGATCATCGCGAGCGCTTGGCTGCAGGCCAATCCCGAGTGACGCGTTCGGGACGTTAATGTTTCATTGTCAAGTAGAGGAGAGATCCCTCGTGCAGCTATTCCATGTGGCCCCTTTTAAAATATTCCGCGTATGCGGGTCAGTGTCTCTGCGATTGACGGCTTAAAGGCGTCGCGCTGTCACCACGCGCGATCCCGTTGGGGGAGACGCGATCACGTAACACGCGCTGGAATTCCATGCGTGTGTTGCGATAAGAGGTGACTATCAAATGGCGCGGCGAGATAAGAGAGAGTGGATGATTTTTCCGTACAAGTAGAAATGGAAATTCAGGTCAAATGGCGAGAGCCGCATGATCATTGAACTTGGATCTGATCTCTCTCTCTCGCTCACTCCGACGATATGTCACTATCGCCGGAAGTGACTGTCTCCAGATGGCGCAGCACTCCTCTCTCTCTCCCTCTCTCATTTTATCGCTCTACGCGATGCCACCCTCTCTCTGGGCATGCGCCGGTGCAGATTTTCTCTCACGGAGATGTCATGTGAGAGAGATGGCGATGGCTCCGTGACGTCAGGCGGCTTGCGAGAGTGCCGGCCGTATGGCGGGGCGCGTGAGCGAGAGCGGGATGGCGCTAGAAGCGAAGTTCATCGTCAATGCCTGGCGAGAGAGAACAAATGAGTGGCTGAGAACGAGTGAAAATTCTAGTTCTTCACTCATCGTATCGCGGTCGTTTAGTCAATACGCGACCCCACGAGAAGGCGCTCCGCCCCAGTTAATCACCCCCTTGTAGGCGAATCGAGACACCGTTTCAGGACACTCAGACTCCATCAACAATAAGGTATGGCAATCCCAGTGAATGCAGTAGTTTTTATCGCCCGAATCGCGCTCTGTGCCACCGACGAGCCCCTTTGGATGGAGTGAAAAATGAAAAATCAATTGTATCGATCACCTCAAGGTCCCGTGACAAAATTCACGCTAATCGGCCCCAATTCGGCGCGATTTGCAAGTGCATCTGGCGAATAAGATGGCCCAAAAGCGCCTCCAGTGATTGCGAAGTGCGGCCAAGAGTTGAGGAGTGTTGGAAAATTTTCTGGCAGAGTTATGTAACCGTAAACCAGGGGGAAGAATATCGAAAAGTGCTAGAGTGGCGGGTGAAGGAGGCGCATGGGAGTGACAGAGACGGAGCATCTCCACTCTGAAAATTACGTAAAGTGGTTCACAATGGAAGAAATGTTGAGGAAATCGGTCACCATGTGATTTTTAAATTTAAGCATATCTGGGACGATTTTGAGAATTTTCTCTGGCGCCGTCTGTCAATTTCGCGGGAAATTGCGTGGAAAAAAGCGCTTGTAATGGAAATTAATGCTTCTGGCTGAACATTGTTACGTAATTTCAGTAACTTCTTCAGGCCCTAAAAACGGTTTTAGCTGCGATTTCAAGGGGAATCCGAGCACTAGAATGGCTAGAATGCAAAGTGTGGCGCCGCGAATTGGATTTATCTGGCTCTCGGGAAGCATTTTTTACGGATTGTATAACAGTTGTATAATCATCAATATCGCGGCGAGGCGATAACGCGCGGTCTTCAGCAAGATCATCAGCTGACCAAATGCAAGAAATCTGTGACGTCAGCTGAAATTCACTTGATCCTCTTGGCAAAGGGGTTTTCTGCAATTTTCCTGTTCTTGGGCAACAATAGAATCACACTTCCATATGATTTGAGCGATAATCAGTGCACTTGCAAAGCCATTGAGTGCGTTGAAATGCAAATGAGGCCAAGTCTAGCGACAGTTGACAGTCTGAGCGTGATTCTGCAACAAACAGAGAGAGTCACCCGAGTGACTGATCCATTTATAGATCTCGTCCTAAATCCAAATCAGAGTCGCGCTCATGTGACAAATCTCTTGATAAGATCGCACATGTTGTGTGTGTGTGGATCCTTAGGCAATGGCGAAGGTCAAAATCAATTATTTTCGCACTCATCAATGCATTCGGTAATCAATTAGCAAGCATGTTTAGTTAATTTTCTCACACATCTCAATTCTGGCCACGTGAAAATGACGTCAAGGTGGCTGGCTGGCTCTGTGGCACGGTTTATTTATAAGTGAGCATTTTTTCCAACTGATTACTCAACAATTCGCAGTGTCTGCCGAAAAAAATTATATAATATTCGGGGTGAATTATGCAACACGTGCTAGCGCATTGGACAATTTCCAAGTTGGGCGGGTTGGGGGTTCGTAAAATTCATTGATGGGGCGTCTGCGGAGCATTTTGTGTGCCATTGCGAGGGCGTATGGATGAGGGGAGATTTGAAAAGTGCACTGTTGGCGGGCTGTATAACAGTTGGTCGAATTGTCGAAGAGAGAACTGTGCGAATTTCTAGCAGTTCTGTCTGAGTGTGCGTGATACCACGTGGTGTGGGTCTTTCCTGTCCAATCGCCATTTTGGTGCGCATCGGTGTCTGTGGAAAATTCGCCTTTTCACCCATCAAAAGTGCGAAAAGCGGTGCGGAGACGTGTGAAAAGTGAAGCTAACGTGTGGATTTTTGTCAATTGCAGAGAAAAATGCCCGGAATTACAGATCCAGTTGCTTTTCTCAAGGACTTCGCTGCCGGAGGAATCTCCGCGGCGGTGTCCAAGACCGCGGTGGCCCCCATTGAGCGTGTGAAGCTCCTGCTCCAGGTGCAGCACATCTCTAAACAAATTGCCCCCGAGCAGCGGTATAAGGGTGAGTGTCTCTCTCTCTCCGTGGGGGGATTCCCGGATTGTGGGAGTGGGCTTAAGGTCGGGTGACATAACCACACACTTGACCTTGCAAGGTGGTTGTCCGGGAAAGATGCTGATGCGGTGAATTTGCTCTCTCTCTCCCGAATAGGCATGGTGGACTGTTTCGTGCGAATTCCACGTGAACAGGGTGTTCTTGCCTACTGGCGTGGCAACCTTGCCAATGTGATCCGGTATTTCCCAACGCAGGCGCTCAACTTCGCCTTCAAGGACAAGTACAAGCAGGTGTTCTTGGGCGGTGTGGACAAAAACACCCAGTTCTGGCGCTGGTTCGTTGGCAATCTCGCCTCCGGTGGCATGGCTGGTGCCACTTCCCTGTGCTTCGTCTACCCTCTTGATTTCGCCCGTACCCGGTAAGTTCAGGACGCAGGGAGGGAGTGTTTCCGGACGCTAACGACCCTCTTTCTCTCTCTCGACAGTCTGGCTGCCGATATTGGCAAGAGTGGCGCTGAGCGTGAGTTCACCGGTCTGGGCAACTGCTTGGGCAAGATCTTCAAGGCTGACGGCATCAGCGGTCTGTACCGTGGCTTCGGAGTGTCTGTCCAGGGCATCATCATCTATCGCGCTGCCTACTTCGGCTTCTACGACACCGCGCGTGGCATGCTGCCCGATCCCAAGAAGACGCCGCTGTACATCAACTGGGCCATCGCTCAGGTAAGAGCCCAACTTTCGCCCCCCTTGAGAACGGCGGAGCCTCACGAACTCTTCTCTTTGCTCCTCTCGCACAGGTGGTGACGACAGTCGCTGGCATCGTGTCATATCCATTCGACACCGTGCGTCGTCGCATGATGATGCAGTCTGGCCGCAAGAAGACAGAGATTGTGTACAAGAGCACTCTGCACTGCTGGGCGACCATTGCCAAGCAAGAAGGCAGCGGAGCCTTCTTCAAGGGCGCCTTCTCCAACGTTCTCCGTGGCACTGGCGGTGCCTTCGTACTTGTGTTGTACGATGAAATTAAGAAATTTTTGTAATTTAAATTATTTTATTTATCAACCGCCAATAAAGCTACGGAGTTACAAAAGTACACACCGAATTCCCATCACTGCACATCAAGAGCAATCCGCGGAAGGAAATTCCATGTACATCAAGGCGATATGATAAAGTATTAAAGAAAGAAAAGAAGGAAAAAAGGAGAAAAACATGGAAATAATGCGGGAATTTCTCCTCATGCAAGGAGGAGATCCGTTTAAAATGAAAGAAGAAATAATGTAGCGAATAAATACAGATACTAAAAACAAAAAAAAAACCAGTTGAGACAAAATCATGCAAGTTTAAGTGTTCTCGGTAGATTCTCAGACGTTGTCGCTTTACATAGGATCAAATTTTATCATTTATATTACAAATTTTCTTTCCTGCGATGCGCAGTTTCTGTTCGTCGTCACGATAGGGGAAATTTCTTTGATTTCTATGAAAGGAAAATTACAGTGAAGAAATAAATGAGAGAAAGCTCACGGTGGATTTTCACTTGCGGCGCCTGAGGAAGATTTCTTTCTTTTCCCCCGTCTATTTTGAGCAGCTCTGCACAGTCTCGTGTCTCTAATTGTGGTGCACTTTTCATCAAAATGCGAATAAAGTGCGAAATTATTTACATTTTATTGATTTCCGGCTGGAAGAAAAGCGATAAAACATCAAATAAGGGATAATTTATTTCGTTTCAATCATTAAATAAGTCTTTACAAGTCTTTTTCATGCAATTTTGCAATATTAGATGGTAAAATAAGATCCCAAAACCAATTAATTATAACAGAAAACGATAACTTTGAAGATAAGCGCCAATATTTTCACCACGAGATTGCCGCCTGCTTTGCCTACTCCGGGAAATCCTGGAAGAGACACCAGAAAACACTTGTAATTTCCATCAACACCCGCCTTTATTTCCACTATACACTTGTACACAGATGATTTGGCCTCTGACGAGCGCCGGGATGAGTTTAAAACTAGGGAAAAGTGTCTTCCAATCCGCCACTCGCGTATTTTACAAAAAAGATGAATCGATAAAATTACTGGTAATTGTCCTTAGATGATGTCTTTGTGGGAAAATTATCATACCGTCGTCCGATTGGAGTCGCCCGCGAGTTTGTCCACAATGCGACTCACACCCGGCATGTTCAGGAAGCTGCCCAGCACCGGAACTCTCCGCAGGAAATTGATGGCGACTGGGAAGAAGCCGCTGAACAGCAGGACAAAGCCGTAGATCTCCACAATCATCCCGATCAGGGGATAGCCCACGAGGAGGATGACTATGCCGCCGAAGAATGCTATTGAGCCTTTCACTTTGTGCTTCTGGAAGAAGAATCTGAAAGTCCTCTGCAGACCAATCACGCAGGCGAGTCCGGAGAGGAAGAAAATCTACCGAGCAGAGATCAGTGATGGTTAGAGCGTGTAGGACGTTGCCAAATTGAGTCTACTCACATTTCCTATGGCCAGGAGTCCTTTGTCGAACAGCAACAGGATGCCCAGGAAGAGGAAAGAGATCCCGAAGCCAGCCAAGCCGACGCCAATTTCTGCAGAGAAATTCACCGTCAAAATACTAAATATCACTCAACAATGGGATGGAGTTTCCATCAGAGGCACTTACTCTGTGTGTCTGTGATTTCAAACATGTTGTCCAGCGACAGGAAGTTCTGGAAAAACAATCCCCAAAATCGCCCTCCAAAAGTCTGTGTTCGTCACCTAACCTAACAAATCTCCACGTCACTGTCTTTTTTCACTGAGCTGCCATTGCGTGGGAAATGCACTTTTCCACCTGAATCCAGGGTGAAATGAACAATGAGCACTTTATTTTCACCTGAGATACACCCTGGAGATCCTGAAGTGGGAAAATACTGAGAAAATGAGACTATTTTTCCGATGAAAACATCCTCTCCAACGGTGACGTGTGTGACGTTTCAAAACAATCGATACCAGGAAAGTGCGGTTATGTCGTGAGAGAGGAAAACAGGCAACGTGTATATTTCTTTAGCAATTCCCTATAAATCCTGTTTGAAATGTCTTCGGAGGACGAAGATAAGCTCCAGGGTGACACTGAGCAACCGTCGGCGAAGAAAGTGTGCCTTGAGGAAGCGGAAAAGGTGGAGAAATTGCCAGAAAACTGTGCCGGCGAAGCTCCTGCGGAAGTTCTCTCGAAGCGAAGGATCAAGAAGCTGGCCAAGCTGCAGAAGTGGGAGGTGCGGAAGAAGATAAAGCGACAGGAGGAGAGGGAGAGACAGAGGATAAAGCGACAGCAAGCTGTTCTGGCCGGCGTGGAGAGAACAGCTCCGACCAGGAAAGAGCTGAAGTACAACACAACATCCAAGAGTCCAAATCCTATTTCCGTGGCTGTGGATCTGGATTTTGACGATCTGATGATTGACAAGGACATCTGCAAGTGTGTCAAGCAGCTGCTGAGGATATACACGGTGAATCGACGCTCGCAGACGCCAATTCCGCTGTTTTTCACAGGAATCCGGGAAGATGGTAGGATTCACAAGACACTGGAGCGGAATGATGGGTACCAGAACTGGGATGTGGGTAATCAGACTGGGATCTTGTCTTTGGGAGGTGGTTTTAGTGATTGCTGTCTTTCCAGGTGACGATTTCCCACCAATCCTTCCTGGATTTGTTCGAAAGGGACAAGATTGTCTATCTCTCGAGTGATTCTGACCACGTTCTGGAGTCTCTGGAGGACAACCACGTGTACATAATCGGCGGTCTCGTGGACCACAACTCACAGAAGGGGCTCTGTCTGAAAATCGCTGAGGAAAAGGGTCTCAGGCATGCTCGATTGCCACTGAATGAGAACGTTGTGATAAAGACAAGGACTGTCTTGACGATAAATCACGGTAGGCGAAAAGAAGTTCCCTCAAAACTCGAATGATTTATTTACACCTGTGAATTTGGTTAACAGTTTTTGAAATACTGCTGCGCGTCACGGAGAAGCAGTCCTGGAAGGAGGCAATTCTCAGCGTTCTGCCGATGCGAAAGGGTGCTAAAGCCATAGATTCATCTCAAGACGCTACAGCGTGAGGCAATTCAACTCAATTCACATGCTTTACAAGCAATTGCGCGACGAGTAATTGGACATAACTATGTGAATAAATGTCTGAGATTTTTGTAGTTTTGCTAGAGCTTTTCGCCCCTTGTTTGTCTCCATTGCAATTAAATGCAAAGCAAAAGTGCTAAAAAAAAATATATAGAATAACTGCATGCAGACATCAACCATAAATTCATACTGCAAACCTCCATAAAACATCTTTTCATACATTTTCCACTTCTCATTATTTTTTTTATTCTTCTTGTACACAGAATAAATATTACAACTTCTACAAAAAGAGGATTCCAAACTAGTAAAGGTATACATATATTCTTTTTTTTTCTTGAAATTCTCATCATTTTGCAAAGTAAATTATAGAGAAAAATAGGACAGTTTATCAGAATGAAGAAGAAAAGGATCGAGAGTTGTTCAGAGAATTCATGGAGTTTATAAATTGGAAAAAAAAATTCACGGAAGAATCGCCTCAAGATTTATACATTTATAAAATTTCTATACAAAATAAAATAATAAATCTTTAAAATAAAATTATTAAAGCTCTGTGAGAACCAACAAAACAAAATAAATCTTTTAGGACAAATTTTACTACTACACTTGGATTCTATATTTTCGCATGTGTTTGCGCCGGGAAAAAAAGGAGGAGGACAAAGATCGCGGACACATTATAATTCATTGAGTTCTTCTCTCTCTCGCTATTGATACGGACTGGACTAAGAGGCCGCATTGAGTTCGTCCTGACTGAGAATCTCAAACTCCGACTCATCGGACGAGTCGGGCGCTTTGTGGCTGCTTTTGGCTGGCGGGTGGGAAGCTTTTCGCGCACTGTGATCCGTCGTGTGGCTTTGCGTGGGATTTGTCGCCTTGAGCAAGTTGCCCACCACATTCCACGCCTCATTGATCCCAAACGGCAGACTCGACGCGACGCTTTTGCTCACTTCTGTGTCACTTTTGTACTTTGCCACCTCCTGAGGCGCATCCACGAGGCTGTAGTCGTGGAAGCTCAGTCCCTTCGCCATGCTGTCCTCGTCGGACGACGACGTGTCCCTGTTGAAGTGGCCGGTCTTGAAGGTGAAGCCCTCGCTGGGCACCACAGCTTCCCGCTCACCCTCGTCGTCCATGATGTCCGACTCCGCATCGTCGTCCGCCTCCACGTCCGGCAGACTGCCCTCGGGAATCATCAGGTCCACCGGCAGCGAGTCCGCGTCCTCACTGTGACTGCTCGCGTGCGACTCCGTGGCCACGGGCGTCGTTATCACAGCCTCTTCGCCGGCCTTCTGCAGCACGAACAGATTGCTCTCGTTGACCTCTGGCAGAAATTCATCCACATCATGATCCGTCGTCTGAGATGACCAGGCAGTTTCTTCACCTTTTGGCGAAACACAAAGCAGAGGTGGAAAAAACATGAGATAAGTACGGTGTTTTTTTATTTTAAGCATCAGACATAAAGAGAACTTCTCTCATGAAACTTTAATAAATCATCAAGTCATTGGAAAATCACTCAAGCACAAAGTTTTCTGCATATTTGCCATCCAACTTGAGGCATTGGCCCGTAAATCGGAAGGCAAATTATGGCTCTATCAATAAATTCTCACTCAGAAGCAAGAGTTTATGTGAAAGAAAGGACAATGAGAGGCAGATTTAGAGAGATTTCTTCAAAAATTTCCTCATATTCACTGAATTTGATGGAAAATACTGCAAATTGTGGACTTGTTAGATATTTCTTGATCATTGATTAAGAAATAAAGTGAAACAACGGATGAATTATCTCTTTTTGAGCACTTAAGAAGACCTTCAAGACTCTGAAATGTCACTACAATGTACTAAATTGGACAAAACAACATTTCTAAAATTGATGTGAAGCATTTTCTACAAAATTTTCAATGATTTTCTGAACTTGTCCCACTTTTTTCAGAAGAAATTGCATCGATGCGAAATGTTGGAAATAATGTGTTAAAACTTGCAATTTTCTTCAATCTCATAAACTTTCCTTCTCACGATGCGTCGCTGAGTGAATATCGTAAATATAACGTAACGTTTCTTTGTAATCATGAAATGTAAATTGCCTCAACAGTAAATAAACATCTCTCTTGGTCCAAGAAATAAATAAAATTCTCAATATTTAAGTGACTAACCCACTTCAGCGCATCCTCAACAAAGAATCGCGCACAATCAACTTGTGCGCTTGATTGCCAAAAAAATCTTTTTTTCATGCAGAAAAACTCTTGAGGTCAATAGAATGAAAAAACAGAAGTGTTTCTCACTCGCAACAGTGCAACAGTGTTGCGGAGAGAAGAAAATCAATTGTTGCGACAAAATATCTTTTTAATTATAAACCTCTCTTATATATTATATGTGTGACTCCAATAAAAGTGACCCACATTCTCAAATGAAAATATATGTTGAAGACACACAGTGCCTTTGCGATGTCAATTCACTTGGAAATGATTCAGCGCTGAGTCGATGTGTTTATTTTTATTCAGGCATTTTCTAATGCTAATTTTATTCTTTATTTACTATATTTGCACTTCAGAATGCAACTTAAAGTCACACAGAGTGCGAACACACAACAATAAAGATAAGGCACAGTAATTATTGCAATGCAGCAAACATATCTCAAGTCCGGTATCAACGCTCACGACGTGATTCCGGTAGAACTTGAAGATGTGTTTATCGCCACAGCTTTCGGAGTCACTCAATTGTGCGCAGTCTAAGAGCGATTACAGACTTGTCGTTTATCCTCGAATCGGCGCAAACTGGAATCAATCCATCGTGGATGAGCTTGGAGTGTGTAAAGATCAGATCAGCCATAATTCGTGGCTGAACTGGCGCTAAACACACTCAGAAGTTATTCTTCTTTGTCGATACTAGCGACAATTTCGCTTCGTGTTCCGCTCTCAGCTGTCAATTGATTTGTTTATTTCATCAAAAAGCGTGAAATTTTACGATAAAATTGCGAAAATTGATGATTTGCAGAAGAATTGAATGATTTTGAGATCCCATGAAATCATTTTCGCAAGAGATTCGCCATTTTGTCCGTTTTGAGTTGTGAAATGTTTCGGCCCATATTCGGCAGAGTGCGCTGCCACCGGGAAGCACATAAATATCGGTTGAACCTTCGATATATCGAGGAATTAGTCGCGTTTTATGCATAAAATTGGCTTATCCTCGCGTGGATCATCCGCAAGTCTGTAATCACTCTAACGCCCTCACCCTCGCGCTTTTGGCTTTGACCATCGCGCGCGCTCAGCAAAATATCACTTTAACAGCGTTCATGATCGTGTCAAACACACTCTCTTTGAGCTCTTGATATTCCGGACCCCGGAAAATGGGATCAAGTTCAATTAGAATGCACTTGAAGTGCGTGGGCGAAATTAGACTATATAATCATCAAGTATTCTCTGCTTAATATTTTCACTCCTCATTCTCTCTCTCTCTCTCAAATTCCACATCGTCATCGGCCAGCGCTGAATGAGAGTTCGCGTTGAGAGGCATGTGAAAATAATTCTTTTGATTTCTTGAGACGCGTGTTATTGTTGTTTTGCTCACAATAAACATTATTTTCATTTTCTGTGTGTAAACAACTTCTGCCAATAATCACCTGACCTTATTTTCCACGTCTCTCTCTCTCTCTCTCTCATTCTTTCCTCTTTTCTCTCTTTGCACCCAAAAACCACCCACATTTTCTGCGATAACAGGAAAGAAAACAACAATTTCCGAATTCTCTGCATATGACAAAATCCCATTGATAAAGAGAACTTTTTCAACTACGACTAATTCGTTCGACATCTTATCACAAAGGACACATATTAAAAAATCATTATAGCTTAGAAAAATAACAGTGAAAATTCACTTTTATTATTGACTCTGGACTGTGTTTTGTTTTCTTATTAAAATCCATCCGAAAGCGAAACCATTTGTTCACTCATCGTGAAAATACAGCACTTTCTTATCAAGAGAGAAAAAGAGTTGAAAGAAAAACAAACTGTAGGACTAACTTTTACACATGTGTGAATGATAAATAAAAACAGCATTCTGCTGAATTGTGAATTATCACTAAAACTCTATCACTCGTGGAAGACATAATAAATGCCAGCAAGTTGGCGAAAAATGGTCGCTAAGTGAAGAAATTTGAGCATTTAAGAAGCCCAAAGGCATTATATATTATTTTCTGGCGTTGGCGCTGAAATGTGTGCCATTGTCAGTTGGAAGTGTCATTGAGCTGCTGTTGATTGTATAATAAAATTAACAGTCGATTGATTTATTACATAAAGCAAATACAAGTCAAGCAAATGCGATAATCCCTTGTTTACACATCTCACATGTGAAATGGGGCTCGTCTTTCGACGTACATAAACTCTTTTTTTCTCTTTGCACCAATCAACAGCCGGATGCAAAAATCGAGAAAGTCATTTAATTATCCACAAACATTACAGATTTTCACTGTCAATTAGACTCTTCTGCCCCGCAAATACATCATAAAATATCACAGCCATAAAGACATTATGTGCCTTCCTCTGCCCTTGAAATGAACTCAATATCTTTCGCGGCGAGCATGGCTTCACCATTCAATGGAATACATAACAATTTCAACACAAACTATTCACACTTCTTCGCTCTTTTTTTGCTGTCTATTCAAACCCTCAAACGTCTGAAGCCACGCAAAAATAGCCAATGAGTAGAACAAAGAGTTTTGCTATCAACTCACGACTTTGTGAATCACTTTAATGATAATTTTGGCATTTTTAGGTAATTGGAACACACGACTAATTAATTTTCTCAGCCATAATTCTCGCTATCAAATGCGACACTCCATATATTCCTCATCCTTGGCAATGTAGTTCAAGTTTTCTTGCATTTCATCCACTATTTCAACTTTAATGCTTGATCACGTGCACTTATTTTGTGCTATTTTGAGGAAAAGATTCACCAATTGCTGCTGCTGTTATTCTGCACACTGGATCGATTTCAGATGAATTATGTTATCGCATTGCTTGAAATTATTGATAAATTCCGCACTCGTTGGAAAAAGGCCACAATCGAGTCAACAACTACGTCAGCAACTACGTAGTCAGTCACCTGATTTATTAGCTTGTTAGAAGAAATTGTTTACCGCGATAATTAGAATGATATCTAATGACTTTTCGCGTACAGCGGAAAAAAAATCTGTCGTGGCCTTTTTCCTCATTTCACTCCGCCAGAAAGTGGGATTATCATTCATTCTTTTCTTCACGACACTTTCAAGTGTTCTCTATTGCCATTCCTCTTTGTCATCACACTGCTTACGATTTGAAATTCTTGAGTAAATATATTTCATTATTCAAACACTTCTTTTGTACACTTGAACCCGTGTTAAGTAATGCAAAGTGCCGTGTAAAAATATTATCCAAGTCTCTCTTAAAGGACTCGGCAATGCCTTCTTGTTGTCCCCATGAAATATTCACATGTCTCACCTTTGGTTCTCTCGTGAATGATATCGAGTTTGTGGCGTGTGGAGATGAGCGCGGCCATCAGGAGGCCAATGAGGACAATCCAAGTGCCGGACACAATGTGACCCAGCAGCGCGAGGAGCACCAAGAAGACGCTGACAATTGTGCAGAAGACGCCCGGCTTCTCCTGGCGCAGCTTCACGAAGTTCTTGTAGCTGCTGTCCAATTTGTCCATGATGGGAGTGGAAGAGACTAGACGGACGCCCGGACAGCGCCACTTGTACAGCCACACGGCGAACACCACGATGAACAGTATTCCCAAGGGGCGGAATTGGAGCCTGCAAGACAGAGAAAAACGAGGGTTGAGAGTCAATAGCAGTATTCCTTTTGCAGATTGTAAGCATTGAATGATTTAAACTGCTTAAATTGCTATCAAACTGGGTGATTATTGCTCTTGTCCCTGATCAGATGTCGGTGTGAATTTGCTGAAACGCCCAAACTGCGAGTGTTGCTGCAACTTTTATAATGATTGCAAAGAAACACAAACATTCCTCTCGGCAACACCATTAGAGACCAAATACGGCTCTAAGATCTCCCATGATTGGAACAGATTTCAACGAATCCACTCTCATTTGACATTTAAAAAAAAACCCCATAAAAACTTTTATATTTCTCTTTCTTCACATTAAAATAGAAAATTTTCACACAGCGTTGAACGAAAGTTGGTTCGATTTTGTGGCTTTTTTTTGAGGATTACCTTCAAGGTCACAACTGATATGCATATTCAAATTTCTGACACAAAAATCGATGAACCAGTGAAAGTGTGATAGACAGACCCAAATATACCTTATCATGTGCAGTCGCTGCTTTGCATAAAAACATTCACCACACTTTGTTGCGCGAGAGAAGAGAGAATGCTTAAGACAAGTTGCGGCAAATTAATAGTCTCTTTTACAATGTGGAGCATAGCATTATATTTTCAAAGCCTAATCATTATGCACACTGAAGACTGAGTGAGATTATTAACATGCAAAATTAACCCGTTCTCTGTCGCGACTTGTGGATTTTTCTCTCCACTTCTTGCTCACGCGGAAAAGTTGAAGATATGTTAAATAGATAGAAAAAATTGATTGTTTTTCAAATTATAAACAATGTTATTCACAATATGGCTAATTCTCTACTCAACTCCTCTATAATGCGGAAGAATATTTGTCTTCTCACTCATTAATTTCAATCGCTTCGCTTCACACAAAAAATGTGCATTTTTATACACAATTTATTGAGTTTGTAGCTGAGAAAAGGAAGTCTAAATGGCCATTTTTCCCCAATTTACCCAAAAGACATCAGTTTCACTATGTTTGCGCTATTATTAAATTAATAACGATAAGACATCAAATTATTATCTTCGTGTTTTACCAAATCCAGACCACTTTTCCACACGATAAGTCCTTACTTCATTTTCAATCTATCAAAACACACAACTACCGCGCATTTACCCTCAATTGATTGTGTTTCTAAAGTGTTGTTGTTATTGTGTATGAAAAAAAAAGTCGAGACGAGATTATAAGAGAAAAAGTGCTTTAAATATTCGAACGCCTCTGATTTTTGTTCATTTTGCCGGTTGAATAAACTCAATTTGGGTCTTGAATCAAACACTTTTGTCGTCTCTGAAGACGAGTGTGTGTCCAATCAACGCGAAAGGCGCACAAAAATCAGAGATAAAAGCTCCACACAATTTTGCATACACCTTCAAAAACATTCATTCGTCCGTCTCTGGGCTTCACATGTAGAATTTCTCTCCATTTCTCTTCTCTCACGTGATGCAACAGAAACACAGAAATGTTCGCGCCTCAAAACATCCTCAGCAGAGAAGCGTGGAAGTCCCAAAATAAACACCACGCTTGAAGCCAATCAGCTGAAGGAGTTCTCTTAGTTCGTCTCACTTTTTTCTTCTTCTTCACTTCAGTCTAATTTCGTGTGACTCACTTTTTTTCTTCACCACACACAGCGAGCATCTCTCGCGATTTTCATGTACATTTGTGGCAATAATAATTATACTTTGTCAAAATGATTTTGCAAACTGCGAAATATTCTCACCCATTAGTCAGGATTTTGTGGCGCACTTCTTTCAACTTTCCTCTTCCGCAGCGAAAATATGTTTATGAGATTGCTTTTCAGCTCTTGAGTGAGAAAAACGTGAAAAACGATGACCAATTTTTGGTTTTAAAAGCATCACAGCTCTCAGAGAGCATTTTATTTATTTAAAACGCAAAATTTTCTCTCAAAAAAAAGATGAAAGTCATGATTGAACAGCTGCGGAAGCAGGATGAATAAGAAAAAAAAGCGTCTCAGACTGTGCATGAATATTAAACAAACAGAGAATTGGCCTTTTTCAAGCCCATCCAGAGCTTTTTTCACCACTCAGATGGCTGTCAATTCCACTTGAACAGTCACTGACCTAGCAAATACCACGATTAATATGTCATCATCAGGCGATTTTACATCAAAATTGCCCCTACTTTGACCACCTTTACAGCCGAGAGGAACAAAGAGGCGAATCACAACAGGAACGTTGACCTAAAATCGTTTCGCTATGTCTAAATTTATAACTAGAAACTTCTTGTTCTGGAGTGCGTGTTGGGATTTGGAATTGGGTTCTTGGAATACCGCCAAATTGGAGGAATCCAAGAGCTATCGTGACAAACAAGGAAACTTAAAATTGTCCTCTTTTGTGCATGAATCAAAATATCTCAAGAATAATCCAGAAAAACTCTAAAAATTGAGGATAAATGGGACTTTGCAGCAAACTTTCTGTCATGCACTGTTTCTCCCTCTTCGCCACCCTTCTAAAATATGTTCTGTTTGCAAAATCGATAGTGCTTTTTTCTCACGAACACACTCATAAAGCAATAAATAAATTGTGGAGTTAAGAGTGAAGGCAAGACCTTTCATAAGCCACAACAGGGGTTCAGGTTTATGACCTCGAGAGTTGGAAAATCACCCCTGAAACCACGGCCTTCCAGGAAATTCGGTCGACGCGACAGGGAAATCTCGGTGACCAGCGTGCTCTGTGGTTTCCTCAGTTTCACACAGAGAGACGACGGAGAGTCCGGAGAGTGATTATTGTGGAGAAATTAGACCAGAAGACAGACCATAATTTGCTTGAGCGTCTGCGAAACTGGTTCACAAATGCGCTTCTGCAGCCTTGAAACTCTTGCTTTCCGCCCCACTGGCGTGCTCCTCGGGATGTGTTGGACTGCCAGGAGCTGAGGCCGGAAGCTCGTGCCGTTCTTTGTTGTCTTGGCAGAGGGGAGCGCGCGACACAGAAGGACAAAAACATCACTCTCCACATGCTCTCATGGCCGCCCACGCTCTCGCGCGCTGGCGCTCTGCGTCCGCGCCAAGACAATGCCACAGCGTCCCCATCCCAGAGAGCACCCGAGTGGAGCTGCGTAGAATCGAGGGTACTCACCAGCTCATGAAGCCCGTGGACAGGCAGCCCGCCCCGATATGTATCATCACTTGTTTTGACAGCATCGTCGCTCTCGCTCTCACGCGCGCACCTCGCGATCTACCTTCCTGCTCACACTTGCTTTCAGCACCACAAAAGTCGCGAAATGAAGCGCCAAATTGTCACATATGCGAGCAAATACTGCCCTCTCCACAACTCACAAATGCCCACAGTGTGTTTCTGGCTGCACGAGATGAAATGCGGAAGGTCACTGGAGCATCTCACGAGGCTCGCCTCTTTGATAACGCGATTGATGACCACAACAATGCGCACTCGAACGAGCCTCCAAAATCTTTGACCTCCTTCGACACTGCAATATCTCACACTTGTCGCAATCCTACGCTCAACTCTCAGCCACTCTCCTCTCCAGTGATCTCTTGTGGATCTTTTTTCGGCGAAATCCCCTCGGAAATTGCTAGGAATTTGCCAGAAATTCCCCGCGAAATCAGGCCAGTCGCAGTCTCGTAAACAACGACGCAATTTTGCACTGCGCGATAAAACAATCTTTTCTCACCACTCACGCTCAAATAGCAACACTCGTGACTGCAGTTGATGACTCTGTGGTGTTTTGCGTGTGGAATGAGTCCACTTTTGCCGACTCTTGAATGTGTTTAGCGCGGGGAAATGCGTCTTTTCTCGCGACTCTTCGCTGCGAAAATGCTGAGGGAATCAAAAACCGTGCCAAAATACCGCTCGACAGAACGGCGCTGGCGTCGCTACTTGCATGACAGCGAAATATCGATTCTCGAGCGAATTCTCGACGTTTTCTCGACTACGAGAGGGAAGTTTGGAGTAGAAAATCGTTGCAATTGAATTTATGAAGAGGATTTTTCATATTGCTTCCGGGGTTTTCCCAGGATTTTCCTCATCTGTTGCAGCTGTTCATGTGAAATCATGAAGGTGGAGTGTAGTAAAGTGTAATTTAAGGTACACGAAATATTTCATCATCTTGAAGTTGACTGAGTTTCGCCACTAAACTCGCCGTCCAATAGGAACGTTCCGTGCATTTCGCTGCATTTTCTTGTGAATTTGTTTGTCGTGTGTGAAATAGTCGCGAAGAGACCGGTGAAATTTCCTCAAAAACTGCACCTCTCCACGTAACACTTAAGTAGACAGCGCAACCAAGTGGCCTTCCAACTTCCTGTGCAGCTGAGACGGTGAGAAAGCGGGCGGTGAGTAGAGCCGAGAGACATCCACGCGGGGCTCTTTCTGTCAGATGGAAAAGTCCAGAAAATCCACCTTTTTGCCCCACTTTCTCCCCCATTTGTCACTGAGAAACCCGCTCGGTGCCCCGCTAAATTGAATTAGTCGATCTGTTGGCTGATTGTGTTGTTTGTTGTCCGTGCAGAGTGAAGCGGACGAAGATGCGTCGAGCCACGGTGGCCCTGCTCGCGATTGGGCTCCTCCTGGTCTCCGGACAGGCGACTGACGATGCCTTTGACGACGATGTGGTTGTGTCCACGGAGGATGACAGCACAGTAAGTTAATCAAACATCAGCGCATGAGATAAGAGCAACGTGTCGCCTCGTGGGCCATCAATTGCTGCGAAGCGGGGCGCGCTGTTGCTCATCTAGCGCCTCCAGGGCGCGTGGAATTGGGGGATTTGGAGCAGGAAATGACGTGGATGAGGGCAGTGATGAGTGAGGCGTGGAGGGATGGCGGGGAAATGGTAGAAATGAGGGAGAATGAGCGATGAACGGTCGTCCGGGAAGGCACTTTGTCTCTTGTGATGTCTCAAAATAGCACAAAGGGGGCCTTTTGTGGACTTGGAATCTCTCTGTGAGTAATAAGCAGTGGCTATAATATCAGGAATTCTTTATGGGTTGCGATAAAAGAGTGGCGTTTTTGAATTTAGGGTGACTTCTTGTCTTCAAATCAGTTTTATGACCACTGATGACACACAATGGGGTCGCGAACGAGTCCCTAAAGTCCCTGCAATTTGGGAAAACACCGATGAAACTTAATATCGCAATCTTAGAAAGAAGTTCCCTGAAGTCTTCACCAATGTCTGAGTGTTGAAATGGCAATGGATTTATGCTCATGAGGCGCGCAAACTTACAGACTGATTGATGATAGCGCGATATGATCATTTTTCTAATTAGTCAGTGAAATAATTGAGTGAATAATTATCGTATTCGATAATTGAGTGTGCACGCTTCTTATGCATTGCTATTCATACACACACAATTGAGCATTTTATACTGTGTTTCGGAAGCACATAAAGTGGGTCCTTTTGGCTGATTTTCACGAAACACAATCTGGGCTGTTGTGGAAGTTTTTGCCGGAGAATTTTCAGGGTGGTCAATAAAAATTCACAAGAAGAGCCTCTTATCTCAGTTTGATGATTGTATCGACATTTGTTGCCGGGAAAGTTTCTTATGCGGAATTGTATAGAGAGATGAAGTGCGGGCAAGTTGAACTTTTCTCTTTTTACTAACCAAAAACTTCATCGTTCTCAATCTTTGCAGCCGGTTGATGATGATGACAGTATTCAGTATGAATCTCCCAAAGTGATTCCGGGCAAATTCTACTTTGCCGAGCACTTTGACGATGAGGACGCCTTTGGCAAGAAGTGGGTGAAGTCGCAGGCGAAGAAGGACAACACGGCCGATGAGATTGCCAAGTATGACGGCGTGTGGGAGGTGGAGACGCCACAGCGGCCGATTCTCAAGCAGGATCTGGGCTTGGTGCTGAAGTCAAAGGCCAAGCATGCGGCCATCGCGTCGCGCCTCATGAAACCCTTTGTGTTCACGGACAAGCCGCTCGTGGTGCAGTACGAGGTGACGCTGCAGGAGGGCCAGGAGTGCGGTGGGGCGTACATAAAGCTCCTCTCGGCCGGCAAGGAGACCAATGATCTCTCACAGGTGTGACAAGAATGAGGAATCAGCTGTTGAGCGGTGTGTTTATCTCTTGTTTCTCCTCGTGTTTACAGTTCCAAGACAAGACGCCCTACACGATTATGTTTGGGCCGGACAAGTGCGGCAATGACATAAAGCTTCACTTCATATTCCGACACGTTAATCCACTTAATGGCACCATCACTGAGAAGCACTGCCGCAAGTCAAAGTGAGTATTTCGTCATTACACATTTTCACACCATCGGCGCTCTCGGGGAGAAGAGAGCGAGAGAGAGAAAAGTCGGTCAATGAAGAAGCGTGGCAAGTTTGATGGCGCATTTCTTGCTACTTTGCATAATTTTCTTGCCATCCTAATTGAATCAGTGCGGAGAGAAATGCTGTGGAAAGGCTTTGAACATTGTTCGGCTTTGTAAATCAGAGCAATTGTTGAAGTTATGCGGAGGATTTTGTCGATGGGTTTATTGCAAGACAACCTTTATCTATTCTTGTTCATCAGAAGCCCAGTTTGCGTTGCTCTAGTTCTAGTTATCTATTGTCTCACGGGCTTTAGCCAGATTGCTCTTTATCTATAGAGTCTGATATAGTCGTACGATGATTGTGGTGTGATGTGTATAATGAGTGGGAATTTTCTTTTGAATTTTGCAGGGATCGCATCGAGGAGCCGTTCAGGGACAAGCAGCCACACTTGTATCAGTTGCTCTTGCGACCTGACAACACCTTCGAGATTCGCGTGGATCACAATGTTGTCAATGAGGGCTCGCTGTTGGCCGATTTCACGCCGTCTGTCAATCCACCGCGAGAGATTGACGATCCCACTGATGTGAAGCCCACCGATTGGGATGAGCGCGAGAAGATTCCCGATCCGGACACGCAAAAGCCCGCCGACTGGGACGAAGATGCGCCGCCGCAGATTCCCGATCCCAATGCCATGAAGCCCGAAGGATGGCTGGACGACGAGGAGGAGATGATTTCCGACTCGAATGCCGTGAAGCCCGATGATTGGGACACGGACATGGATGGCGAGTGGGAGGCGCCGCTGGTGCCGAATCCGGTGTGCGAGAAGGCGGTGGGATGTGGCGTGTGGAAGGCGCCACTCATTCAGAATCCCAATTACAAGGGCAAATGGCGTGCACCGCTGATTGACAATCCCAATTATCAGGGCAAGTGGGCGCCGAAAAAAATTCCCAATCCTGACTTCTTTGAGGATCTGAGGCCATTCAGGATGACCACAATAGCGGCCGTGGGCATTGAACTGTGGTCCATGAGCAGTGACATCTTGTTTGACAATATCATCATCACGGACGATGCGGCGGCGGCGGATCAGTGGGCGGCGCAGACGTATGATTTGAAGAGGAAGCAAATTGACCGCGAGGCGGTAAGTTAATTTAACACTCTCCATATATTCACTGCTCTCTTGTCGGCTGTATCTCTCTGGCGATATCTCTATATGGGGATGTCGCATGTTTGAGGAAATTGACAGGAGAATGGAGGAGGAGGAAAGCGGGATGGAGAGTCTGTAGATGCTCCGTGAAAAGGAGATTGAGTGCATAAGGGGGGAAAAAAGTGCATGGGAAATTGTCAAAAGTTTCAAAATGAAGTTTCCATCTCGCAATTCACGGTGCCTGTTTTTTTTTTGTATCCTATGCCATTCCTGCACGTTGGCAGTGATGTAACTCTTGTTGTACTTTTCATAAATTGACTGTATATAAAGGGGTTGTTCAGGCAATTTGCAATCAAAATTTCTCACATTGTATTATCAATTGTTCAATTTGGTGGATTGACAACAACAACAACAGCAGCAGAAAAAAAGGAGAGTGAATTTGTCCAAAGTGTATTGCAAATTATCAATCAGATTATGTATTTTTGTGCAGATTGAAAAACAACATTGAGAGGAATGTTTTTGAATTCTTTCACATAAAAATATCCACTTCATGTGGAGAGAGAGCATACTCAATGGCGATTATTACATGAAAGTCTCTTTACACATTCCATCATCCGTTTGTTGATGTTTTTTTTCTGTATTTTCCTCCTTCACAAATTCACATTTTGATTGAAAACCCATTTCTCTCCCTCTCTTTGGCTGTGTGTATATTGACGATGGCGGGGAAAATGCGACGTGCAGGGAACACTTTGGGATCGTGCAATGAAGTCGATGAATTACAAGCCTGGATGGTGGATTATGTACTTTATATACTGCCTAATACCAATTTCCATTTACGGATGGTATCTCTCTCGGCGTTTTTATGCATCAGATTCAGAGGTAGAGAATTTCTATCAACATGACACAGTTCTTTCATTACGCGCTTTACTGTCGTTTCTGTATGCATTTTCTCTCGATTTACCCGTGTGTGCTTTAGTCAAAAAATTGTATCGCGTAAATGGCGTAAATGCTACAATTTCAGTGGAAATTTGAGGTCTCTTAGATACTCATTATGGGCTAGTAAAATAGTCATAGTTGATGAACAGCTTTTTTCCTCCAATGACACAAACACACGCACACACAGTGGACACATTATTCCCCTTAAAAAATCCCCCCGAGAGAGAAGAGGATATATATATCAGTAATTTCGTATCGAGATACATGGCATCTGAAGGAGAGAATGGTCCTGGAACAAAAGCCGTACAGAGAGAGTGGAAGCAGAAAAAATAATTAATCCCTTATGTAGTTTGCTACTTAAATTAAATAATAATCCCTTTTTCTCTCTTTCTCTCCCTCCTCTCACATCATTCCTCTCCTTGCCCATTTGTAATTTGCTTCCTTTATCCTCCCAATTTTCCCTGTATATGATATCAAAAAAAAAAACTGCCATTCTCATGTAGGAGACGCTCGTTACTAGGCTAGTGAATTACACAAATGAAAATCCATGGATGTGGGGTGTTTACGTGGTCGTAGTGGGACTTCCACTATCAATTGCCATCTTCTTCCTCTGCAGCTCCAGCAAGGTAAGTCCCTTTTTGCCTCTCTCCTTCCCATATAGGATTAAATTGATGCACTTGCTTCACAATAAGTAGAGACACTTGCAGCGCTGAGCTTTGATATTTTCAATCAATATACAGACCTCAATAATGGCTAAACATTGTGTATAAGTTTGAACTTCTTTCTTCAACACAGTTAAAACACAGCATTTTGCTCATACCGTCTCGGCTCATTCCCGTCAGATTCCCTTCAGAATTTTGGTCTGCAGATCAACTTTTGGCGCCTTCATACAATCTGATTTTCTCCACAATTATGGCTCATTATGGACGAAATCAATTAATTTTTGAGTTTTTTTCACAATATAAATTCATTTCATTGACGATTTTCTCGATTTCCATATGAAATTTGTCTATTTTGACCATTTTGACAGCAAGCGCATTGTCAGACACGTCAAACTCAAATTCAGCGCGGGTTGCCCAACGTGAAAACTGCAGGCACACACTCGACATAGAAATGTCGTGAGCAGGAAGGAAAATATACGATTCGCGTGGGGAAGAAAGAGACGTTCGTGAACAAATTACAAATGACAAATGCTGTGTTTTCACCATTAAGGACTCCTGAACTATGCGCGAGTCTAGATCAAGTCTAGACAATCATGTCAAAATTGTGTTTTATGCGTGAAAAGGGCGAACAAGGATAATCTTTGTAGTGTGTAGGGAACTGGATATGGATAGGATCGAAATAATCTTATTCTAGCATTGGATCTGGTGTGAAAAGATCCTTAGCAGTGAAGGAATTTCAAGCTAAAAAAAACGATAATAGATTTCTTAGAGCTTCAAAATGTCTCTATTTGTCTTGTTGGCAGTGTATATTTGGCGAGTGAACTTTTTTTCTACCTTCTCTCCTTGGGATGAATTAAGCTCCTAATGAAAATATAAAAGGAGCACAGACATTCGTAGCAATAATTTTTTATTCTTTTTAGATTCCCTCCTTCGCTCTGGCATTTCGGGCACCAGAGCGAAGGCGGAGATGGAAAAGAATGGGTGGGAATTATGTTCCATGAGAAAATGGTTTTGAGATACCAATTAGTTGTCATTGAATATGTTGTGAAAAGCGCTTTTCACTGGACTTTATCAATGGGCTTTCCTTTGGGTAAATTAATTAATTTACTACAATTACACGGCGGAGATTGAAGATGTGCAGCGATAATTGGGTTAAAGACGTAAAATAATAATAATAATTCTATGTTATTAGGTCCTATTTTTGGGTTTCAGTTGACCTTTCAATTAAACTGTCGATGTGTAATGATGATACAATTTGCTAGATTGTATAATTCATAAAAGCCAATGCTTTTGATGAATTATGAAGGGTGAGTTTCTCTCTTATTTCAGCCTTGTAGACACTGTGAACGAGGGAAAGAGAGGGAGAATTGAAGACAAAAAAAAAGTGTGGAATATAATTGGGGATAATTTCTTTTGGCGTAATTTTCCACACAGATGAATTTATCATTTCCTCAGCCTAATTATTCATTTACTGAAAGGTCTTTTCCTATTGTTCTGAATGAAATTTTCACTGTGCAATCGCACAAGAGTGAGAGGTTTTCCATCACAATTCAATGGGACGTGGCGATGCAAAGGCGAGTGGACGAATGGACGATGCGAAGAGGAAGTTTGATATTCCCGCGGGGAATGACATTGATGAACGGGGGAATATTTGGTGCAAGAACTTGTATTTATTGAGGAAAATAAATACATGGGAAAGTGTTGGGCGTGAGAGTGAGAGAGAATTGTGATATCACGGGAGGGAATAAGCATGATTGATTAGATTGTTATTTGATTATATATGGTTGAAAAAGCGTCATCAATTGAGGTGTTATTAATTATGGTGAGAGGAAAAAAGTGTGTGGATTTTCTTTTATAATTCTCTAATGAGAAATAAATTAAACATTTGCCAGCAAAAATTTCAATTGACTTCAATTTGTTGTGATATTTGTATGAACATCTCTCTCTTTGTTCACTGACATTGTTGACATTTAATTGGAATTTATATAGAATTGATCATCAAAGCGCCACAAAATTATTTCACTGATGAATTTTACATGCGTACTTACATACATATATCTATATATATATATGCACAAATTAATTGCGTGACATTTTTTTTTGCAATTGTAATTTTATTAAATCACAATCCCATAGTGAACATCAAAATGTGATGTTCTGTGCTTTGTTTTATTACCGCAAAGCACGAAATTTTCAATCAAAATCCACTAACTATATTAAAAAAAAAAAAGAATTACAAAAACTGCGGAAAAATGTTACTCTGTTGGGATGTCGTTTAATTGAAAGTGCATTTAAATACATTATATTTTCCGTTCGCTCCTCTATAATTAATTAAACACAGACACTCTATGTGTATAAATAAAGTGATGAGTATAGGAAAAAAAAAAAATTATTATTTATTTATTGATTTTTATTTGTGCATAAATGTGTATTTTTCTGGGGGTTTTAATTAAAAAATATGCAGAAACAATATAGGAATGAGGGACTTTTTATAAAAATCTGTTCATGCAATTTAATGTTCAGAGAATTATTCTCTCTTTTTTTTCATTAAGTTTTTATTGTTTTTCCATCTGGGTTTTTATGTGTATTTTCTGGGCAAATATCATGCGAACAAGTGTGGCTTTAAGCTTTTTTTTTGAGGGATTGATTGGTGAAATAAAAAGTTGTTCGTTCAGAAACATAGTAAATATATTTCGTTGGGAAAAAAAGAAATCATACAATTAGGTTATTTAATTAATTGGGAGTGTTGAAAAATATGTGATTATTCGTATTGAATTAAATGCGAGAAGAGACAAATGTAAAGTGTTGTAAAATGAAAATCCTCTCAAATCCTTGTATAATGAAAGCTTTTGCTAAATAATTCCATGTGTATATTTTGGGGTAAAATGTATAATATTTAAAGCTCAACCCGAAATGACGCTTGAGTTTGTTGAAAGTGGGAAAAGGTATGGAAAAGTTCACTCGTATGAAAATTGGTAATTATACTTTGTATAACACGCATTTGCTGGTTAATTCACAAATTTCACATTGGAAAGTTAGTTTTGTTGGATGAATTTGATCAAATCTACAAGTAGATTTTTCTGCTCTAAGTTAGATTTGTGATTTTGATTTAGTGTTGTTGTTTATTGTTGCGACAAAATTGCCTCAATTGTTATTGGATTTTTAAGAAGAGTTAAATGCTGTTTAGAGCTAATTTCTCAGAGTGTTTCAATGTTCTTTTATGCCATGTTTTTTTTTAAAGCTGAAACAATGAAACCTGCAAATATTGAGGCACTTTTGTCGTGTTGAGTGTGTATTGAGTTGGTGTATTGTGTTTCGCTGAGAGTAGAAAGTTGTCATAGTTGCAAACAGTGTAGCATTTCATTGTGACTAAAATCCTTCTCTATTCTCTTGCCGCCACCGCAACAGGACAAATCAATACCAGATGCGGCGAGGAGCAAGAAAACGGACGAGCCAGTGCCGGATGACTTAATTGGAGACGGTCCACAAGCCAGAAGTAAGTCGGATTTGGATGAACCGACGCCGCTTAATACTCAGGGGAGTCAGCCACATGGCGAGGGCGATAATAAGGGTGCAGGAGGCGATGGGGTTAATAATTCTCCGGGCGATGAGCCGGCCGAGGAGGCAGAGGCGGAGGCGGAGGAAGAGCAGGCGGAGGGCGGCGGCGAGGAGGATGACGATGATGGTGAAATTATAAATGCCAAAGAGTCACGAGGCACCGAGAGCGAGGATGAGGGCGAGCTGGATGTTCCTGCGAGGACGGAGAGTGTGACAGCGTCCGTGGCGGCGTCAGAGGGGACCAGAAAACGAAAACCTCGAAGAGAGTAAAATCCCTATTGAGGGGTTTTTAATTGAAAAATTTTATATATTCAAAGAAAAACACAGGCGAGCGCGCGAGGGGAGTTGAGAAAAAATGCATATTTCTTCTTGGGTATTATAAACTAAAAGAGAAAAAAAAACAGAAAAGCAACAACAAACACGCAAAGCTGATGGCAAAAATGTCCGGAGAGAATTGACACGAGGAAGAGAAAGAGAGAGAGAGAAAAGAAGGGTGGAATGTTAAATAGAATCGATTTCACTTTGATTAGAGGTTTACCAAAATTCTTTTAATTTGTTTTGCCACTCTCCAGAGCAAATTGATGATTTGAAGAGCATTCAAAAAGGGTGTAAAACATGTGAAATGTGGAAAAAGCGCAATGATAAGTAAAATAAAGAAAAAATACGGAAAGGAAAAGGAAGAAATTAAATTATTTGATACAAAAGAAGGGAAAATAACACTAAATCTTTTCATAGGATCCGCATTAAAAGGCGTGCCTGGAGGAATGAAAGCGATTTAATGGGAAACAGTTCGTTGCAAATAATGCGCGAGATGTTTTTCAATGGGTTCGGGGGAGAGGAAAGAAGGGTGGAGAGTGAAAAAAAGCTCTAGTCCAATAGTAACTTTCAAGCATTTCCTACGGTTTTTTTTTTTTGTATTTTGGCGTCGCAGTTTTTCCAAAAGTATTCAATTCATGATGTGAAGCAGCAAAAGGGAAGAAGAAGTCCAGGAAGGCGAGGAAACATTCTTTGGGAGAAAACCTCTATTGAAATCGTTTAAGCATTTAAAGATATTTTATTGAACCCAAGTGTGGCGCATTTAAATGAAATTTTCAATATTTATTGCAATTTCGGTATGGCGTGTGACTCCCTTTTCCCCAGCATTTTCTTCATCTCTCTCTGTGCTTTCTTTCTTTCTTTCTTTTTTTTGCATTTCACAAAATACATATGTATGAAATGTGCGCGCATGAGGGCAATAAAATCTGAGAGCGTTTTTGTTTTCTCCAAGGAAAAACATGAGAAACTATTAAAAATTGCAAATTTCATTTAACTACATCACGAAGTAATATTTGTATTCTTATGAAATAGGATTACATGCATAAATAAATATAGCAAAATTGGATGAGATACACTATATTGACGAGGGGGAATTACTTAGGAGCGAACAACAATAATAATAGGTGAAAAAAAAACAAGGTGAGGAAGAAGTTTAAGTCGAAGAAACATTTCAAAAAACACTATCGAAGATATAATTTATTTGAAACAATTTACTATTTTGCTGTTGAATGAGAGTTGAGTGTAGCAAATCACATTGAATGTCGCGATAATAGGTAATAATGGTTAGTTCGCAAGTTGTTTATATGACTGCAGAAAGACTTCAATTGCATACAAAATGCATTTCCAGTAATTTATTATTTTGGGTTAAACCAGTGATGATGTTGCGAGATGAAAAAATATGCCTAAAAGGATCCAATAAAATGTTGATTTGAATCACGCAATGTTGAAACTTGTGAACTAACCGAGTAAATAATTTTGACGACCTCAAAAAATATAGATAAAAAAGGGGTGTGAAAAAAAGCAAGAAAATTGATAAAATGAGTCATTTTCCGCAGAAGAAACTAAATAAATAAAATGATGATTTTGTAGTATTCGTTCCCAATATTAAACGGTGAAATTGATAAAAAAAACAGAATAACACTGCTGAGACTGCTGCTGTTATATATAATTATATTTCTCTGATATATAAAAAAATGATTAAGTGAAAACAGAATAAAATTTGCTGTAATTGTAATGAATTTTACAATAAATTTGTGTTTCTCATTGAATTTTTATCTGTTCAACTCTTGAAAATATCCCCAAACCAACATCAAATGCCATCCACAATTTTAATTGGATATTTTAATTAAATATCGACAAGTGAAATTTTGAAAATAGCTTTTTCCCTCACACAGTAATATTTATGATAATTAACCACAAAATGACTGTATCAAATACCATCTTGGCGTGATGGATAATGTGCAAATGAATCCAATAACTCAATATATTGGCCTCCCCACAATTCATTCCCCGCAATGCTGGCCGCCTTTGTTCCTGGGGTGTGATTTGGAATATTGGACAGTCAATTTTTGCAGTTTCGCCCCGTCCGGTCAATTGACGGACGGACGGACGGACGGGGGGATTTCGCTTAAGCTCGATAGAGATTTAAATCAATGTGTAAACGATAAAAACCACATTAAATCGGATTGGTTTCGTGAATTACTGCAAAATGATTCCATCACTCCATGCGGTTGCCATTCATACAAAACACACCGAGTCCGCTTTTCGGGGGGCGGCGGCGCCGGGGCCAAGGGGGAGATAAAATGTCTTTAATCTGTACACCACTTTTAAACACTTCCAAATTTTCCTGACACTTATAGAACTTTGTAAGTCGATTTCACTATACAAACCGGCAAAACACCAAGCCCTGCCCAATTCGTATCCCTAGAGAGCTTGTAGCAGGAATGCCACTGTCATGGCGGCCTTCTCCTCTTGATATACGATTCTCGCTGTTAGCATTATTTGACGGTAGAGGCAGCACTGAGGGTGACGCGGAGAAACGCGCGGTGCAGTGCATTACCGAGTAGGAACAGGGGATGCAGCGAGATTGGGCGCCAGGAGGAGTTGGTTACGTATAGCCAATCTTCTAGAGTATTTGGAACTTAAACTTGAAGTTTTTAAACTGTTTCCAAATCAATTCCCAGAGGTTTTATCCGATATTTCTGTAAGAATCAAACTTAAAAACGCATTTTTGGACATCTTTTCCAATCATAACCTCAAAATCATCTGTTTATGATTTGCCAATGAACTCAAAACTGCTGATTAAGAGTCAAAATTGCTCAGAAAGTTTTCTAAATGAACATTTTTGAAGTCCACCTCAATATCTTTGAGGTTATGTTCGAGTTTAAAATTAATATTTGACATATTTGAAGTATTTCTTGGCATCAAATATTGAGAAAAGCACCATTTATTGTATATAAATAATTAATTCTGCCAATGACTAGCGATTTTTCCGACCTTAATTTAAGAATTGATGTGCTAGAATTTGTCCTTGATCTGTTACATAACCTAGAAAAAGGTGGTTATGATTGTTTCTGCGTGAAAATCGAAGGAAATCCAGAGAAATGGGACAATTTGTCGGTAAAAGAAGTAATAAGGAGATAAATATTGTAGGTTTTACAATACTTCCACTTCTTAAGTACTCCTGCTGAGCTGTACACCACTCCTGACCGCACTATCTGCCCCTTGGCCGGGGCAAATGAAGCCGGACCGCCGCCCAAGGTGGCTCGAAATTGGTCTATGTGGGTGAGCATTTGGAGTGAATTTAATAAATGTAGTTATACGCTGAATGGCGGTGCGGGGAAAATTCCATTTCGACTCTCCATAACACAGGGAGTCTTTTCATTTTGTTTCTCATATTTTCCACTTGTGTGCATGCAATATTAAATGGGTATGTTTAATGGCAATGAGAGATACTGGCAATTTCGCCTTGTTGGGGATATTTTTTCGGGGCTTCTGCTGAGCATGTTCATGAGCAACAATATTTTGTCTATGTTAGTAATTAGCATATGAAGCGAATGTGGGGGAGGGAAATTCTCTCTCTTTCTGAGCGCTTCGATGCCATTTTCCATCCATTATGTCAACAACACACACACACACATCAACGTTTTGCACACACCCTTGTGATTGTCGAGTGTGTAAATATATTCTATTAGATCCCTGGCATAATCACATATCTTGATCTTTGATTAATAAACAACTGTATGCAGTAATAAATAACCCCTTTGGCACAACTAACACGTGCGCTTCTCAATTTAAGCCTAATGACTAGTTCACCAATAAACAAGTAGATTCATTGGAATGCCATAATATCCGGCGTAAATCTATTGGAATGCTGTCTGTTGGCATTATCAAAATGCAAAATGCTCAATTAGCCACTCATGCAAGTGAAATGCAGAGGCTTTTTTGATTAATCCTCGTTGTTTAGCATGAAATACCTCAAATTCATAAACTCTTTCAATCCGATTAGAGTTATTGCGAAGCCATTTCGGATCTCTGTCTCTTTGTTGTGTGAGAATTCTCCTAGTTTCCATAGCAAAAGAACACCTTCTTATATAACTTCACCAGAAATTTAGGTGAAATACAATATCCTCACGTTCGTGGTGTTGAATTTGAGTCCAACACTTCTCTGGTCATGCTTTGAATGGAGATTTTCTGTGCTATATGCAATGGGAATAATCATTAATATCACTCCAAAGTGGGTGAAAGAGAATTTATCAAGCGTTTAACTTTGATACGTCTACATATTTCGACACATTTAAAATAGAACTTTCAGCAACTTTTCCACAATGGTCATATTTAAAGTTATCTCACAATGCATTTTCAAGAGAGAGAAAGAGAGAGAGAGAGGGAGAGGAAAAGCATGTTGTCTTGCTGCTAATTTGGGAGAATTTTCATTAAATGAAGTGCGATACTGGAATTAATTAAGCAAAGAATAGTTGGGAGGGAAATGAGGCGATTCGATGGGTCAAGCAGAGATTGGAAAAGGGCGAAGAAGCGAATTGTGTTCGATGGCACTTCATGAGGATCTCCTTTAGTCTGTATAATGACACTTTGAAACTCAAATCCCATCCATGTCATTCTTCATTTCCTGCTGTTCATTTATTTAATCCCACTGCGAAAGCCAGTCTGGCCGATTCTTTTGCACATATTCATTGGGCAAAATTTGTACAAATGTTCTTGCAAAATGACACTCTTTTGCCGCTCACTCGTTATTTCCCCCAGATGGGAATAGAAATATGAGCATTTTTGACCTCGGTCAACGCTGAAAAATTTAATTTTTAATTGTTGGGAAATTCATGAAAGCACCAACGAAATCCTCTGAATTTAATTTCACTTTTTCACCAGCAATTCGCCACCCCCACGCCAGACAAGAGATAATAAATTAGGGACAGCCATTTCTCGTGTAATTTCACCACTTTTTGCCACTCACTTTTTTCCGCTCGTCTAATAATTTTCCCAAACATTCCGATGGAAATGAAATGGACGCCGCGACAAAGGGACCGGCGACTGGTGGATTATACACCATTATGCTGTCGCCCGGCGGTGGTCGGAGAGGCTCATTAGGGCTCCTCCCGATGCACCGCCGCCCCCTTTCAATGTGCATCGGCTCAAAGTGGTTTGTTCAAGCTGTGAGTTATTGTGCGGTTTTCAGCTAATTAATTTCTACTGGGAAATGTCCATTGTTTGGCAGAGCAAATCACAAGGACTTGCTCGAGAACGAGGAATTCCTCAGACAAATGCCTATGCAGAACAATCTCCATTTCAATCAACTCCACCAATTATTGCCATTTCTCATGATTTTTTGCAAGCGGTTTGTTGGAGGCTTTAATTTACTTTTAATTTCTCTACTCAGACTGTTGATTGACTAGAAGAGCGTTGGTTAAAGCGTCGATTGGTGGAAATTTGGACGATCTACATATCTTTATCTGAACTTTGGCTGATTTTTCAGTGTTATATCCAAAGCAAAGGGGACATATTATGGTCAGAAGTGATGAACAATTAAGTAGAAGTGCTTGAATATTTTTAAGTTTGTCACTAAATAACCTCCAAAATCATTCATTACAAAATTGCCTATTTTTAAAGTTGTTTGATTGACTTATTTCAGCTTATTGTCAATTAGTCTTGCTTTTAAAAGATTCCTAATACGTTTCTTTTAAGGATTCTTTTTTGATACCTCAAGATAATTGTTAGGTTATGTTTCAAAGTTCACCCAAAAGAGTGATTGAAGATTGAATAGCATCACAATATCCACTGGAAACCTGAAATATTTCTAAAATACTGTTTCTGCGTAAGTTTTCACAGGCACAAAAGTAAAAATTGCGTCTTTTTACGTAAAAGAGTTCTAAATTTGAGGTTATGATACTTAAATCAGATGGAAAAATCTATAAAATTCCTAATAAAGAAGGAAAAAGGGAG